CTATCTGGAACCATTCGTGCGACTTGGAAGCTGAATCAAGAGCGTTGTTCCTTCTTTGAGCTAATTATGCGTGGCTTATTTTCACCTGTACCCTGTACGTCAAATGTTAACTTGTTTGGTGATCTGATCCCAGCTGTATGCTATTGCTGGCGGGATAGTGTGTTCAGCAGCCGCCTTGGTGACAGAAAAGCTGCTGAGATATCACAGGAAGATCAAACAACAAACGATGGAAAGGGCAGATGCACGACCACGTCCTTCGGAGAAATAGATTTGATCTGTGTAAAACATTGCAGTGGCATATGTTCAAAAACGTTCAATGAATAGCATTGTGCTTCACACGCTGAATAATATATATATGTCACGTAATGTAAAGAAAAAGCTGTCGAATAACAATATTTAAGGATTATTCATGTTTTATAAATGACGTCTGAGTGTGCAGGGTTTTTTTCTGTTTTGGTATTAAAACTAAAACAATCATTAAAAGAAATCGGATGCAAACACAATCGACTGCAGAAGACTGTCTCTCAGCAGAATCAGTGAGAGATCAGTATATATTGACAGTCAATCTTCTGCTGACAATCTGCGGTTTACCTGAAGCAGTTCAACACTCGAGAACTGGTGAAGGAAATCGAAAGAAAAACTTGTTTCCTTGTCAATATGTGTCAGAGTGTGCAAAAGAACAGTCGCTATATGAGTATTTATCTGAGATTACTTATAGGCATGGTGTTGGACCCAGTGCTTGTTAATTTGGCATAATGAGGTCGAACAGTTGCCCTTTCCGCATCAAGAGACCATAAACTTTGAATAAGTGTCCAATTGTGTTGATCTGAATACAACTGGATGCACCTATAGTATGTAGGCTCCGTACTTCGCTTTGCGTTCCTATGGCGTCAAGAAACCGGGGAGGTCAAATCCAAGTTCCGGCCTGACTTTATATATAGGTTTTATGAGAACCATACCCCCAGCTAGAGGGTTCCACCAAAGTTGTTATCCGGGATAGAATTGGTCTTCAGCAACCCATGCTTGCCGTGAAAGGCGACTATGCTTGTCGTAAGAGGCAACTAACGGGATCGGGTGGTCAGGCTCAATGACTTGGTTGATGCATGTCATCATTGCGTGGATCGATGCTCGTGATGTCAATCACTGGATTGTCTGGTCCAGACTCGATTATTTACAGACCGCTGTCATATAGCTGGAATATTGCTGAGTGTGGTGTTAAACAACAAATAAACACCAAAGTTATAAACTTCTAAGACCTTCATCGCTTCAGACATCACCTGCCCATCAACCTGACACGCCGTTGACATAACAGTTATAGTGGCGAAATTAAAACCAAACTCATGCATCCAAGTATATAAATCATTGAAATATTGAAACATGCATATACAATTCTATCCACACTATATACAAAGCGCTCGAACGTAATCCGAGTAGGGAATCAAATGCTGGGTGTCAGAACCTACTAAAATAAAGATTTTGTTCTCTCCATGTATGACACAGTTGATGATGTGTCTTTGTAACCAATTCAGTCTTGCCTTTCAAATACTTCACAAGTACAGTCCTCAGTTCTATTGCTGACTGCAACGAAAAACAATGTTCACACCGTCAAGTTAATTTGCTGAGGAAGAAATTCGTTTCGGTGATCACTTAGTGAACGGACACCGTTGAACCAATTTACACTCAATTTGCCATTGATGATTATTCTTAGACATTGTATTGAGTGAATGAATTATCAGAACTTTTCTGGGATTTGAAACCAACAGTAGATTCTTGCACTTTCAACTTTGCATAGACCATTGCGGCGTCTTAAACGACTGGACTGTCCCCGGTCCCTTACAAAACCTCCTTTTACGGTGTTTCATAAAATAAAGCGACAAAACCCTTTGTATTTCCAATAGAATTGATGGTACGATCCGACTATATCATGAGCATGTGGTTATATATTACTATTAAATAGTAATGATACCAGGTTTCGCGAAAAGCTGAGGGTATCCTGCCCAAGCGGTCGCACACGTCACAAACACATGCAAAGGCAAGGCAATTGTTCACCTAAAAAACACGGGAACATATGGCACAAGTCAAAAAAGGGAATTGCATCGGACGTAATGGTTTTTACCGATGCGTCGAATTTAAAAATGTCCTCCAAATGTCTACCATAAAACTTTTTGAAAGCTTTACTGAGGCCTTGAAAAATCCAGTAAATATAGACATCAGTATAGACCTAGACCTAAGCATTCCAGCTACATCACGACGGCTTATAAAAATCGAGGATGGGTCAGGGAAACCATGAGTCGATGATCAGCACTAGCGACTCATGCCCTCGAAGCAAAATTGTTCACAATCAACACGAGACACGATCTCTATTTTGGTCGGCTTCTTGTATAAGCCTAAGCTGCTGGGGAGCTACATTGTATAGAGATGAAATTGAAACTTCTAGAGCGTTGTTCATGTAAATACTCACATAATACGTCGATATCAGGGAATACACATCTGCTGCAGCCGATCTGTAGGTGTAAGTGTTCACTTCACTTTGAAGACCGGTTTTTACGAATAATAGTGCGTGAGTACGGTTTTACGCCGCTTTTAACAATATTCCAGCAATATCACCGCGGGGGACAACAGATAAGGATTTTACACAGTGTACCCATGTCGGGAAATCGAACTCGGATCTTTAGCGTGACGAACGAACGTTTTACCAACAAGGCTACTCCACCGCCCCTTTATTGACATATAACTGAGGTATGTAGATGGAATATGCTGACTGTGGCGTAAAACTCATTCTGTTACATTGTCCCGATTATATTTCAAATTGTGCAATAAAACTATGATACTAGGGTGATGGTTCATTATCCACCACTTAGTTTTGCAAAACAAACAACTACGTTTGTATCTGTGAAAGCTCACACGTTACAAAAGAGCATAAAATCCCACAAGGTTTATGATCGATTGTTCAGTGAAAACATTATTGAATTGATAAGTGATTATAGATCTAATGCTGTTGTCCTGGTAGTGCTGAGGAACATATTCCTGAATCTTTTTCCTTACAATTTGATGCACAAGCCGCCCAGAGTTTCAGTGATATTTTGAAGTCAGTTGTAAACCATTTACACGGTGAATGCATTACTCTTGTCAATTATTTTTACGAATAAAGCTCTAATATAGGTCAGTCAACGGGTCAATGGCGTAGTTCTTGGTGAATCAATAATAGCACACAGCTGTACAAATATTCTTAGGTTTTGGTACATAAAATCATAGGGAATCTTTACTCATTCAGCTTGGATTAAGAAACACTGTCGGAATGGTTGCGATTACGCTTCTATTTATCTCGTCTTGCTTTGCTTTTGTGGAGGGATCAAATATTGGTAAGATTCATAATTTCTATATCACTTTTGAAATGTGTAAAACAGGCATAGAGGTGAGTTATGACACGGTGGCCACAGGTAGGAGCCGGCATTGATGTAGGATAGCATGACGTGACCGACCTATACTTTCTACCTCTAAGATCGCAATAGTCGCTAATGTGCCACAAAGGCAAGATGTGAGAAAAAGAAAACGATTTGATGTACCTTCAAATTTTAAAAACAGTCCTATTTAAAATGCATAAAGAACATTGGTCAGTCAAATGCCATGGGAATTACCATCCAGTTATTCTAATCTAGTATTTCAACTGTCGATGTGTATAAAATGTTGACAGTGCTGCTTATTTCCTGAGATGGATCGTGTGTATTGTTTATGTGTCGTCTAGTCCATTGAGAGTGCATTGAAGGTATACACAACTTTGTTGCAGCATATCTCGTCGGTGACAGGTCATCAGTACCTGACCATGTCAACATAGATGTTTTGGGGGAGTCAGTATCAGTAATCAGCATCAGCAGCAACAATTCATATCAGTTATGGAGAACAGGTACCAGTGTGTCAGTCTATGACTTATGGCTCCAGATGCCTATGTAGAAAGGATGATTAATTTGGGTGTTTGTAACTACGATATCAATTTTTCAGATGATAAATGCACTGTTTAGTTGACACAAAGCAAAGCCTCATGAGACAATAAGGTTGTTGTGACAACCATTACACGTTGATTATATGTGGTTATATCCCATTAGTTAGACGTCCCATTAGTTAGACGTCCCAACTGTTAGACATTTTTATTTAGGCAAAGAGGGAATATACCTACAGGTGTAATGGATCTGTCCTAATTAGATTAAAGTACTGCGTAGGGATAGGGGACTCACAGTTTAGGGAGTATATATGTTACAATTTCGTTTAATTAACCAAAATTACCTTACTCTCAGCACAGGTTCAATAGGCATGAGATTAACTATGTAAACTATGGAGTAGCTTAATTGTCTTACTGTATGACCAGTTGAAGGAGTTGAGTTTAGGTTATCTACTTATCAGACAAATAAATATGATATTGGGGTACGAATCAGTATCAGTATCGATAGGGCTGGTTTAAGGAAAGTAGAGAAAATCACCTCTCGGCGTGGAAGTAAGCAGTTGATATTAGATGGATATATTTACAACAGAAACCGTGAGAGGCAAACCTGCACACATTGGAGATGTGTCGTCAAGACGTGCAATGAGAAATGTAGGACTGTCGGTGATAAATAAACTGTAACAGTTATTAAATGTAAAGTGTACATTACCAAAAACTGTCACAAAGTGTTGTTACAAACTGTATAAAATTTATCAAATGTAAAGTGTCATTAAATGTTAAGTATAATATTAAAGTATCTATTTAAAGCTACTTTGCTTTGTTTGTCAGATCTTATCTGGACTATTCTATTTTAAAGTCTGAGGTAACAAGCATAAGGATTAGTGTGCACTCAACCGTTTAAAGTGTTGTTATAAGCTGTCTAACTATTGGGACGTATAACTAATGGGAGGACACCTTATATGTATGTTACAACTTTACGAGTACCTCTAGATCTCCCGGCATAAATATAAAATAGCTTCACGAACTTTGAGTTACAATTTAAGTTTATCATTATATGTTTCAGTGTATGTGACCAAGAATATATTTGACCTGTATATAATGGACTCTAGTATTGCTGACCAGCCAGTGACCAGTGCTATAGTGCGGAATTTGGCCGTACACATGCTAACCATTGATCAATATCTGGAGGATCCCCAATGTTACCTACAACATCAACCCTGCTCTAGGGCACGTATAAGCAAGCCAACTTGTATACATGTCACCAGAAAGAGGATCCATGAAATCACGTCAGTAGAATGTGCTGTTCTGGCGACATTGAAAGTTTTGAAGTGGCGTCTTGTTAATATATTCTATGATGACAATACAGGTAGGCTTTTCGGTAACGTTGCACATCAGTATACATGATGTATTTGGGTTCCACGATTTCAATGGCATATTAAGTTTTAAGTTGGGGGTCAATTTAACTTCAAGGATATGTTAGTCGTGGGTTCGAATCATGAAATATATCTGTGTCAGAACATGTATATATGTTACAGTATCAATGGCTTTCAACACAAGAAACACGTTTAATGGGTTAATTGAAATATTAGGAAACATAAAGATGAAGATTTTGAACATATAATATTGTGCAAATACAGTTTAACATACAGATGTTTTAACTAGTCCATAACTATGTGTTTTAACGAAAATATCACCCAGAATAACTTAAATTGCAGAACATATTATCGGGCAAGTATTTGGTTGTTGTTTTTTACTTGATTGGAACTGACGTCTTAGCTGTAGGACGTCGCTGTATATGTGCCATAATCATGGACGCGACGTTAAACCCAATTTCACCTCACATCACCTTAACTGTAGGGCAAATTAAATGTCTATGATATAATGATTTCTAATTTAAGTTATTAAACAAAGATCATCGAGTTCGGCTTGGTTTCTTTCAGCTGGTGAGACGAGCTCTATTTCCAACGAGTTACACGACATCGGCGTAAACATCCGCATGTTCAAAGTGGGAAACAATCAGACAGAACTGTCTGCACAGTTATCCACAAGTTACAGTCCCGGACTAGCGAGCTTCTATCTCGTCTTCTGTACACAAGAGTGTCAGACTGATGTGCTGACAATGGTATGGAAATAGTCAATTCACAATTACTACTACGACTACTACTACTTCCACTACTACTACTACTACTACTACTACTACTACTACTACTACCAATCGCCTCAATTCCAAATTTCATAGCTGCTCACCTGGGATACACAATATAATACCCGTCACTGGATCAATGGATCAGTGTAGACTTGAATTTCATTCTCAGCTCCCCGAGGAGTATACAACTCAAACTTCCTCATGTGGTGCTAGAAGGTTAACCGTCACAGTACATCAAATCCTACCGGGTACCCATTAACTGCTGTATGTTGACTTTTGTATTGTAACGTAGGCAAAACGTTTTGATGTGACGAAAGGACGGCGCTCTGCTCTGAACATGTTCACAAGATGGCTGCTAGTTGATACAAACAACGCAACAAATGACATCATTGGCCTGGCTTCAAATCTTTACAATGTAGCAGTTCTTACGGTTTGTGTTCCCTCATGGTAATAAGTCAGCTGGTATAATGTTATCATTTTCTGTTACTAATTATCATGTATTTCGAAGCATGTACATGTACATACATAAATAATCTGGTTTTGCATATGGAAATCTTTCTCCGAGACATTTTCTTCTTCTGCAAAACTATGTTCATGTCCGCATGGACACAAAAGCTAAAGCAACTATATATAAATCGTATAAATTGAATGATAACTGATTTTTATTCATTTAACTTCGTCAAATCAAAATATTTTATGTCTGCTTAAGGCAAAAATAGAAAGACAAATTGACAACAACCATTGATGAACTCGTCCGAATTTCAAGATTTATTTGCCTAAGATCTGTTTTTAATAGCCTTACGATTTTTCTTACACAGACCGAGCTCTCCTTGTTGACAGTGATGTACACACAACGCGGTAGAGAACTGGCCATGATTCACCAGATTAGTGTTGGAGGGGACATTCCATCAAACATTATTGTTTTCCCTAATACTGAATTCGGATTTAATCTTCAAAAGTTTGAATTGACTACTTTGCCAGTAAGTTGCATTTCTCATGCTTGATGTTCATTCTCAAAATATCGTTACCGTCTTTGCAAATGATTATTCTGAAAAAGGGACCTTTGAAACCAATTCACACGCCTAAGGATATATTGCGAGGTGATGAAATGGTGTTCTATTTAGAAAATGGAATTCTCACCCAACGCACAATACATATAGTCTCCAAATTTAACATTAATACCTATAAACAAACAACTTTCGAAAATGTAAATAATTCTATCGTCAGCTTGAAATAGATACTAGGTGAAAAACCAGAAAGTGGCATTTTCAAAGCGTGTTGATGTACAATGTATGATGAAATATTGCTGGGTTAACATGTTAACATTGTATTGAGTGAATTATCAGTTTGGCCTTTGTTTCTTCCCCAGTGGAACCCATTCGTCATGCGTACAAAAGAAGGTAATGGACGTAACACCTCTTACGCCGGCTACACTATTGACGTACTCGTGGAATTATCAAGGGTTTTGAATTTTACGTATGTATATTTGTAATAAGGAAGAGAATTTATGGATGTGAACTTCTTTATTCTGAGGAACACAACGTTTCGGAGTATATGCTTACTCCTTCATCAGGTGAATGAATGCTATGAACCAGAGAGCATATTTATGTACATGCTCTATGGCTCGTGGCATTCATATACATGATAAAGGAGTACTAAGCATATACTCCGAAACGTTGTGTTCCTCAGAATAAAGAAGTTCACATCCATAAATTCTCATCCTTAGGTGTATCACTTCTAAATGCCTTTCAAAGACCTATATCTTTAATGTTTGTCTTCTACAAATGAGGACAATTAATAGACATAGTGAACACATAGATAGGCCATTGTTCCTATTTGGATCAGGTTTGATTTACATTGGAAATTCAACCACACATGTGACCTACCGATGTTACATGTAATATATCATAGCCTATAAAGACGTGTACATGTATGTTTCAAGATACCCAGATATACCAAGGTATTCGTTATTACAGGTAGATAACACGTGAACCGCGTCTGACATTCTGATCAGTCTGTTTATCGTCGCTATAGAGACCACTCAAAGAGTGTAGCTACATACGCGTATAGATCAAAAGGACTTTTACAAATAGGTTAAGTAGCCAATTAGATTTCAAAGAGTTCTTCATCTCTTCAGAAGCAATGTCAACATGTAAGATGCTATAATAAAATGGATGGTTGCAGTTGTAGTTATATTAATAATGTCATGTTGGCCCATTATAAATTAATTTGTTCTTGTATGTAATTTTACCCTGCTGTGACGTTTTACATTCACATTTACGCATATGTGACATATAGCATCTTAAAAAGCCAGATTGGTGAGGCTGAAAGCTTCGTATAAGCTTGCTTTAATCGCATCTCACGAATCTCCTCACATTATTTTTAAACGTGGCAGTCATGTCGTCGAAAATGACATTTGATTCACGTATCAGTGTGACATGTCTTATAAATAAGAGCTGAAACACCCTTTTTCATAACCAATACAATTTGCTGTTAAAAGCACAGTCCATTGTATGATTCCCACCATATCATACACAGGTGCAATACGACAGGTTATATTTCAGATACAACATTAGGGAACCAACAGACGGCGAATGGGGTCGGGTCCTTAATGGCAACTGGACCGGCATGATTCAAATGCTGATGAGGAATGTAAGTGACACGGGTCGCTCCTCTAGATTACCGTCGTTACTCAGGTGATAGACAATGGTAATACACAGTGATATCCATACCCAAGGGGAAAATTTCCCCTACCGGTGATTGCCTTAACAACTAGGCCTCCTCTCGATCAACCAGCAAGGCTACATAGTAAATGAAAATTTCATAGCAATTACAATAGATCCCCTTGATACCAATAACAATAGATCCCCGTTAACGCCGAGTAACGAGTTGTTTTTAGTTGTCTGATTTACTCATACAATAGCCAAGATCCGACAAATGTAATGCATGTAGTAAAGTTTTATCATCTCTCGGTCAAATTAATGTCTCATCATAAGCAATGAAGTTTTTTCCACAAATTCAGGAAATAGACATTGCAATGGCCCCTCTCAATCCAACAAGTGAGCGTCAAGCAGTGGTTGACTTCAGCTACCCCATGAGCACTGACGTCATCACAGTCCTTCTCACAAAGAATGATTCTCAGAGTGAAAAATGGAGGACTTATCTGCAGCCATTCAGCCAACCCGTATACGGCTTCATAGGCCTGAGCTTTGTCCTTGCTACCATCATGCTGACTGTGCTAGAGAGATGTAGTCCACGTACCCTGGGACCTCGCCGGGTGTCCAGCAAATCACTATGGGACATGTCGTGGCACATGCTAGGTTCCCTGTTCGCTCAAGGTAAATCTGGATCGTATACTTCTGCTATGTCTGACCGTGCCTTCTCCTTTTGCAGTCCACAGTTATGGAACTCTTTGCCTTTGAATCTGAGAAACTCTGCTCCTAAGGAAACGTTTAAGTCTCTCCTCAAAACCCACTTCTTCACTTCAGCTTTTCAATAGATCTCCTGATTGTTGGCATATGTACATAGACATTACATTTTAACTTTGTCACAGCGCCAGTGAGCAACTGTCGATTGATATTAGGCGCTTTACAAATCAATTATTATTATTATTATTATTATTATTATTATTATTATTATTATACACTCCGTTAATCAGGACGGTACCGTGCTATCTCAAGCCATCCGGATGAACACATTTCCGTATTTTAGAGTCGTAGGTATGCTATGATATCGCTAATTCTTGTATCATGTTTGCATCAGAAAAAGGACACAATGGTACAAAGAAGGAGAAAACGTTCTGCCATCTTGCAAATAGAAAGCATAAAAGTAAACTCATTACATGTATATAGTCTTATAAATAAAAAGAAATCCTCGATGGGCCAAATAAACTAGATGAAAAGAAACTATTCTATCAACGTATTTACACTTCAATCGTACCTATTGATGAGGTCAATAAGATTATACTCAATACTATGTAAGTGCCTACTTTAGATAAACATTCAGCAACAAGAACAATATGTGAACATTGAAGAAACAGCTGTAGTCGTTAAGTCAATGAAAAATAACAAGTCCAGGACCAGATTGATTTCCAATTGAATTTTTAATAAACAACCAAGAACGATCTCATTTTTTTTATTTCTAGATACTAGTGTTTATAAGAGGTGTTAAAGATTAATGCTGTTGACAATGACAATGGATAATAGAGTTATAAAACTCGTACACCATAAACTAGTAAAACAGGAGATCATTTAAAAACATGCAGTCAATCTCTTTTTGAATACAATTTCTAAAATAATTAGTTTTTGCATTACTATAAGGATTAAGAGAACTCTCCGACTGCTTATCCATGAAAGCCAAACTGGATTTATTCCATGCCGGTGTATTAATGACAACACTAGACAATTATTTTGTTGGTTTGGGAAAGATGTGGGTTTGAACCTTCCTTTAGAAAATGGGTATATGAGGAACTATGATTAGAAACATCGTGCGCCATACGCCATGCCAAGACATACGAAGAATCAGAAGAACCACCAGACTTTAGGACGTGTGTATTTTAGGAAGTTAAAATTATGAAAATAGACATCCAATTCTACAGTTCCTCATCACTATAGTGCTTGTCGTAATAGACGAGTTTACTGGATCGGTGATCAGCATCGATGACCTTTTTTTGCTGTGGGTACCAGTACGGCACCCACCTTGTTGCTTATTATATAAACCAATATTTTGTCTGTCCAGTGTCTGACTCGATTTTTTACAGACCTCCTTGATATATTTGGAATATTACTAACTGTGCCATGGAACAAATAAAATAAAAACATGCCAAATCCGATAGTGATTGCCAGCATTTTGCAAGACGTGGTAAACATTTACTGATAAAAGATTACCCTAGGTGGTGTTGACCCTCCGCGTTCCCGCCCTGGCAACGTGATGATGTCGTTCTGGTGGCTGTTCAGCTTCATCATGGCAACTGTCTACAGTGGCAACCTCATAGCGTTTCTAACCATCAACGTAGAACATCCGCTATCCGACGGACTCGAGGACATAGTCAATCGGGGCGACTACACATATGGTTATGTTGGAGGCTCTTCGTATGATACTTTCTTTGAGGTAAGGAAACACTGCTGCCATATGACCCTTCTGCTTGTTTGCAGAACTGATGAGGATGAGGATATGAAGTTGTTTTACTGTACCAGTGAGTGTTATTGAGGTTTTGAATTGGGCTGCATTTGTTGAACTGTTCTCTATATATGCTTTTTAATATTACTTACGTTGACGTTAATCATCAGAACAATTACATTTCATATGACAATCAACAATCTGAAAACAACCTTGTCTGTATCCGCTTGACTGGAGCTTAAATAACAGATTCACTGCAATATGATAAAACAGATACTCGCTGATTTCACAAAAGTGGTTAACATCAAGCCATTGCATACATTTGTCTTTTCGCTGGCACATCATTTACAAGCCAATATATCATTTAAATCTTTCATCTATGTGATGCTCCGTGTTATAGAGATCTTCCTTTGACAGGGTACGACAATTCCCTTGTATACGACAATGGGTAAGCGAATAAAAGAATTCGCAAAAAAGGACCCATCACATCTCAGCAAAGACCTTGATGTGCATTTACAAAAGGTGAAGGCCGGATCATATGCATTTATTGGTCCTCGGCTCCTTTTCGGCCTGTGGATGGTTGATAACTGCGACCTGACCGTCATGAAGGAGACACTTGTTCCATCATACACAAGCTTCGCTCTGCCAAAACATTCAGAACTAACAAAAATATTCTCGGATCAGTGAGTATACAATGATATTATACACCATGACACACGATGTTGTATTCTGGCTAAAATAAGTTTAGGGGAACACAAAATATTTAGTCTTTGTCCTGTTAATTAGAACACACGTATTGCTCATCTACTCTGAAATTGTGAAACTAGTATTTCTGTTTCTGACTTCCGTTGTATCATGAGTTGGCTTTAACTATGAGTGAGTGAGTGAGTATGGTTTTACGCCGCTTTTAGCAATATTCCAGCAATATCACGGCGGGGGACACCAGAAATGGGCTTCACATATTTTACCCATGTCGGGAATCGAACCCGGGTCTTCGGGGTGACGAGCGAACGCTTTAACCACTAGGCTACCCGACCGCCCCCTTCAACTACGAAGGCAGTCGAAGCTGTAGTATCAGTGTTCCGTTTGTTTCCAGTTAACAATATACCAATGAGAGAAAAACAAGACAATTCAAGATTATGTCTCAGCCAGTGAACGAAATAACATTTCATATTAGTTATAACATCGGCTTACGTATATCACTTTCATATTTGAGGGGGAAATAGTAAAGTATTGAAAATTGCAGACTCTAATAGCTTTTTCTCTACCAGTGTTTGCTTTATACTGTTGTTACTTCCGTTCCCCATAGTGGTCGCATTTCATTGTAAATATCGGTTCTAATATAGACAGCAAGACATGATAGTCGTGTGGAATGACTAGTTCGGATCGATGGGGTATGGTGAGTGACATGGAGGATCTTGTGGCATCGTACCCCAAAGCGTAGATAGCTTCTGATGATGTGTACCACTGGTATGTTCGACATAGGTAAATTGAGATAATTTACCTCGATACGACACCTCTCTGTATCTGAGGACATCTCGTAGAAGGTCGTGTCAGCTGAACCCTGAATGGCAAGGGTCGATTTACCAGCTCGATACTGACATTGCTGTTTGAACAAAAGAAACCCCACGCAGAATAGAAACATTCTTTCAATGATTTTCCCTTTTGTGTCGAGGTGGCATGTAGCTCAGTAACAACAGGCTTTCCAGATGCAGAAATTAGAAATACTGGTCCGAATGCTTTGCTCACTTGTACCGATAATTTACAATTTAGAAACCTAGACACTGATTGGCCGACAAGAAAATTGAAAATTGACCCGGCTTCCTATGGAGGCGTTCTCCGACCTTTACACAGAGGTGCCGTATCGGAGTAAAAGATTTGATTTAAATGAGATCGGTGTGTAGGACTACTTACAGGTCGTCTGACAGGATAATTGCCGACTGCGTTGTAAAACGACATTCACTCTCATACTGTAACTGTCAGTGCTACCATAGCCAGTCGCGTAAGCGTTCTACCATCTTACGTTAACCCTTGGCGATACAGGGTAGAATAGGTTTTCAGCAACCCATGCTCGTAGAAAAGGGCGACTTTGCTTGTAAAAGGTGACTAACGGGATCGGGTAGTCAGGCTCGCTGACATGGTTGATGGTCAATCACTCGATTATGTACAGACGGCCGCCATATAGCTGTGCGGCGTTAAACAACAAACAAACGTCTTAACTCTATCAACATGATTCCCCATCTTCTAGGGATTATAAAGGTAATAGATAAATGATAATAGGTACCCATGATCGGATGTAAGAAATGCAACAATGTACTGCAAATAAACCACGTTAAATGCATGATCATTCTCAGAGGAAACAGTGGTGTAAAAGTCACCATCGTAGATTTTAAATTGCCATTGTTCACCGACTCAAACTCCGTATAGATTCCATTTTAGAATAGGTCTTCTGCAACATGTACTGGACCCGCTCCACAAAGCGACCGTAGAGCTAAGACTATCATAAGTTTATGTTACGGTATGTGAGTTACAATCGTCTTAGCGCTACGATCGCTTTGTAGAACGGGGCCGTAAGAGGCGACTTAATGGATCGGTTGGTCGGACTCGGTAACTTGGTTGATTGCGTATCATCATCGTACCCGACGGCGTGCTCATCACCAATCACCAATGAAATGTTTAAAGCTGTACAACCTCCACCGAAATTGAAACATTTTTTCTTGCTTAACGCCGCACTCAAACAAATAAAACACGTTCTTAAACAAAACAACTTGTCTATTTTCTTGCCGTACTGTTTATTTATGTTAGGCCAGACTTTGTTGGGGAGTGTACGGATTTTTGGCCCATCAAAGCAAATCGGTATGTCAAAAATATAAAAATTACAAAGATTCAATTTCAAATAAAGAAATTCAGAGTTTAGTTTTCCCTCGCGATTCGCCAGGATTCTTTGTGTTTTGAAGTTTTAAGATATATTTATTTCATCAAGATATAATTACAATATTTTTAAAAATATATTTCTCTTGATAGCGATAGTTTTGTTTTTAAAATTTTACTTAAAGCTGGTCGGCGCACTAAAAAAAAAGCAACAACTTTACAAGTATTTTCTTCACATTTCAGAATTTTGGAGTCGGCGGATTCGTAAACAAAATTCTTTAATAATCTGACCTTATTATTGGTATGTTAAACTTCCACATTGTTGCAGGGTGCTGTCTTTCTATGAAACTGGTCTGATGGACCTGTGGAGAAAGAAGTGGTGGCCATCACGATCCAAGTGTGTCTTGAAGCAGCGCAAGGGTCAGCCGATACGCCTCGTGGATGTACAAAGTGCATTCTATATAACTGGAATAGGAATAGCACTCGCTCTCGTCTTACTGGTGTTTGAACTTTCGTATGTTTGTTGGAAAAACAAAAGGTCATTGTATATTCTTTAACTATAATCTTGATTACACGCCTATTAATACGTGAGGTGAAATGGGGATTAACGTCGCGTCCAAGATTATTGCACTTTTATAGCGACGTGCATGCACGTGTGTGTGTGGTTGGTTATGGGCCGGGAAGGCGAAAATCAATCCCTCAGAGTTAGAAATTACGTTCGCCTTCCCGGTCATCACAAAAATTCTTATTATGGCAGATGATCGCCTTCCCGGTACTTGTTAATTACAAAGAAAACACCAATGAAATGAGGACACTATTTAATCTGGGCAACAAAGTCAATATATAACAAGTATAGTACAACATATCATATATCATGCATGTATTTGAAGATGTATATAGACATACATTTTATCATTTATGTAATAATTCAGTTCATTCCCAGTGCAGCAGATCTGCCACATCGTCAGTGTAGTCCATTGTTGTCGTCAATTGGTTCAACAGATCTTCTTTCAAGGCACGGAGTCTAGAGTCAATCACTCGGTATTTTCTCTTCCGAGCAGGTGCTCTTGGGTGAGCGCCTAGCTGCTCAATCCTCACTTCTGTTAGAGATTGTTCACGTTTCAGAAGATTCACTTCCTCGAAGATGTTAGGGTGAGTCTTCTGGGCGCTCTTGTTCAGGTGATGATGCCATCCTTCAAGGTTGTTGTTGCTTGTTGACCGGACTGATGCCGATTTATAGTGCAAGCACACTGAGATACCATGTCGCAGTTTAACATGAATACCCCACTCAGACACACTATACTGACTCCGAGCCGACCAGTCCTTGTTTTTGGCCCCTTAAAGTCGAGCGCCAGACAGGGTAACAACAAGTACTATCTTTTTACGTCTTTTGGTATGACGTGGTCGGGAATCGAACCCCGGACCTTCCGCTCTCCGGGACGGAACGCTCTACCACTAGACCACGGAGGCGGTCATGCATATTGAAAGTCACACTACGATTATAGTGTTGACATGGACTTTTAATTGTGATCGGGTAGAATCTCAGATAGCGAATACTGGCACAGCCTTAAGACGCAAGTCTGTACACTGAATTGCGGCGTCTTGGACCGCAGCGCAACCTAATATGTTTTAGGCCTCTGAACACAAGTAATTGCAGAGTGTGTTAGCTACATTGTATAAAACAGCACAAAACGTAAATTTGTCATTGTTTATTTTTTGCCAGTGTGAAACATTGCGTAAATACATATAGTATAAAACAATATTTTTGTATATTTATGTTATCTTTTCTCATTTTGAGTACAAAAAATATAACTGTCGATTCGTGGAATGGTATAATATATGCTGTAACGTATACCCTAAAATAGATTTGCTTGATCTGTTAAAAATGTTCACTGGGATGATCTGGGATGCTTTTTAATGTTGTTTGGTGAAAGGATGCAGTTCCATCGTTCTTGAAGTCTTTCAACTTGTACCGTTGGTTGTCATACTAGGAATGTGGCATCATCCCATGTTGGCTATGGTTTACTTGAATTATTACCCTGGAGTAATGGTGAGGGAGTGAGTGAGTATGGTTTTACGGCGCTTTTAGCAATATTCCAGCAATATCACGGCGGGGGAAACCAGAAATGGGCTTCACACATTGTACCCATGTCGGGAATCGAACCCGGGTTTTCGGCGTGACGACTTGGAGTAATGGATGTCAATTGATGTGTTAGTGCACCATGGGTATAACCTTTTTACGATACGCATACTGCAAAGATATGCAGACTTCAGAAACTACAAAACTAAAATAAACATTCTGAGGAGCAATGATTGACTGGTTTAACGCCTCTTTGAACACTAATTCAGTTACATCACGATGTGTCAGTTTCATAAGGGAAATCTCAAAGTAATGAAAATTTTATATTTAGCCTTTGACCACTTTTGTGAAACCCACGGGCACGGATATTTGCTTAATCAGGGCAAACTGGAAGTTGAACCTGCAGTCATAGGTTTCTGGCACGCCTAAAGACGCAACTCTTAGATTCGATAGGCGATTGTGCCAATCGTGCCTCGGAACAATAATAAGCATACTTGGAAACGGTACTCCCATGCTATTCATATGTCACAACATTCTTTAAGGTCTGACGTTGAGATGACACCATATGCTAGGGACATACATCCTCTGCTACTTGAGCTCAGTAATGTAGTTGCATTTACAGACCTGATCATATTTCATCTCGGGTAATTCAACTAACAAGATACTTGGATTATGGATTACCTCCCCCTTGTCAATAAATGTTGGATGTCCCGAGCAAACATTCACTCAGGAGAGAGAATCCGTAAATTGAACACAGCCCGAAGGTTCTTGTCTCAATATCTACTTCAGATGAAAAGTAGCATTTTGTTTGAAAACATCATATATCAATATTCTACTTGTACTTCGAGCCATCCGTGCAACTTGGTCATACATATAATATTCAACATTTGATAGGGACATCTCATGTCATTTCTTGATGCACAAAATGTTCGTTGTATAGTTTGTGCCGAGTCTTACACGATGTCGTTCGAGTTATGTTCAAATTTGGCATCTAAATGGTTTGTGGAAATAAATGAACTATTGCAATCATTATCACCGAGACAGATCTACATCCTCCTCATTTATGTTGGGGAGTATCAGAGTGAGTCATTGCTTCCAATATACTGTACAATCGAGGATGGATCTAAATGTAAATGTATGGCGGCACAGTATACACAAACCAGTTATCAAGTGATGTGTCAATATTAGGAATTTGCTTACAAATCACTTGCTCCTGAAAGATGTACTCGAATTAAGTGTAAATTATTTGTGAAAAAGACACATGTTCCCTCCAATCCAACGCCTCATAGTTCCACAAACCATGGCGTGTAGGTGCCTTGCGCGGCTTCGGGGAACTGCAATAACAAATACTACAAATACTGGAAAGATTATGAATAAATAAAACAGTTCAACAACAATACGTTATTACTTGTCCACTGACAAAGGTCTACCCGAACTTATGAATCAGTGAGTAGGTGAGTGGGTGGATAGGTGGAGAGGTGGGTGGTTTTTGTTCAACGTCACAGCAAGCAACGCTCTAGCTATATTACGTGGAACTAAAATACGATCGCGCGTGGATCAGACAAACCAGAAGTTCGCGTCCGGACCAGACAAACTAGAAGTTAATGGTATGATCAACGATTGTTTGGGGCACGATGACAAACAATCACCCAGGCCACACATTGTAACAACCTGCTCCTCAAACAATCGGCTCTTACGATACGGATATTTGTCCTCCACAAACACAAGGGAGGGCCTAATTAAACTTTGTTTGTTGTTTAACGCCGCACTCAGCAGTTCCAGCCACATTACGGCGGTCTGTAAATAATCCAGACAATCCAGTGACTGACATCATGAGCATCGATCTACACAATTGGAATACGATGACATGCATCTACCAAGTCAGCCAGCCTGACCACCCGTTCCCGTAAGTCGCCTCTTACGACAATCATAGTCGCCATTTACGGCAAGCAAGGGCTGTTGTAGACTTATTCTACCCCGGATCTTCACGGGAATATGAACTATAAGATGCTGAAATAATAACAATAATCTTTATCAATGCAACTTATATTAACAAAAAACTGATAAACTCTTTGTGGCTAAAACACACAAAAAATGCTGGATCTAAACAAGTGGCAACACAACAGCCGTACCAAAACAACCTGTCCCGCAAGAGGTATCCAGATGCCGCAGAAACACAACAGCTTTGAGACAGGTAAGAAGTATATCGTATCAAAATGCAACAGACACACAAAACAATAATGACTGTCAGGTAAGAATAATTAGAATAATGCAGAAACACATCGTCTCCATGTCTACCTGGAACCATTTGTGCATCTTAGTCAGCTATAATAGCAAGAGCATTGTTCTTTCACCCTACCGTTGATAACCAGAGTTAATCATGTACATCTTATTTTCACCTTCACACCATGTACGTCTCACCTGTTTGGAAAACTGATCCCGGCACGCCATCCGGATCTTCTCGGGCGTGGCCGGACTGTCCAGACGGAACTCACGGCTCTCTCCCGCGTCCTTTCGTGCCGATTTGATGGCGTCCTTGATAGCAAAAAATACCGACGACGCCAGGAACAGAGGAGGTTCACCGATACCCTATAGAACGTTTCAATCATTTATGATGATAATGATTGCCTTTCAAGAAAATGTATATACGTTTTCATCGATTGGTGGATGATATCATGAATCGATTGAATATCCTAAAGTTGGAAAACTATATAGAACCTAAACCTTTTTTAAAAAATAAAACATAGATGAATTGTTTTTGAAAATATTTTGGGTGGCAAATATAAGAAAATGAATTGGCATGGTTACCTACAAATTGGATCAGTCGGGTGATTGGCATGGGTGAATGTTGTTTTATGTCGGAGTCAGCAATAGTCCAATTATAATACGGACCCGTGAAGATTCCGAGATAGAATAGGTCTTCAGCAACCCATCTTGCCGTAAAAGGCGACTATGCCTGTCGTCAAAGGCGACTAACGGGATCGGGTGGTCAGGCTCGCTGACTTGGTTGATACATGTCATCGATCCCAATTGCGTGGATCGATGCTCATGATGTTAATCACTGGATTGTCTGGTCCAGACTCGATTATTTTACAAACCGCCGTAATATAGCTGGAATATTGCTGAGTGCGGCGTTAAACAACAAACAAACAATTATAATACGGCAGCCTGTGTAAATGATCAACGTGGTCGACAGAGTGAGCAACGTTCCTCGTTGTCGGGGAATACATTAAGCTAAGTCACAGACCCTGGACAACCAATCAATAATGACAAAGTCGACTCATAATAACGTCATTCATGGGTTGCTTGGAACCACGAACCTAAACACATCGACCCTTTATGCCAGATATCGTACCATCATTATCATCACCAAGTGTGGAAGCTTACCTTGGAAGAGTATACTGCACGTTTATTGACGCTGTCCTTCAGCAAAGTGACGTTCAGTGTGACCGGGATGTTCTTAAAGCCTGGAATCTTGTATGTTCCCGGGCCTCGAGTAAGGACAAGTCCTGCTGGTGAGATCTTCTGCTGTTCAAGACAGAATAACCCGTATCCCTGAGGAATAAATTATGGCGGTTATATATGTAATAAGTATGGTTTTATCTAGTAAGAAAACATAAGAACAGAAATATTCAATCCTCCAATTTCAAGCAGTTAGTCAAAAATATTACATGAAAAATAATATAAGAATAGTCAAATTGCACGGCTTTCATTTATATGGCTTCCTCGAACAGCAAGGAAACTTAGAAACAGAATCTGTTCCAATCCTCTTCTACTGACTGCCGAACTTGATCAGGCCTTTGTTTTAATAAGTCCATATGAATGAAATGGAGTTTATGAGTGGCATAGCTACATGTACAACGTACGGCCGATTATTGAACGTGATTGAGTCAACTGCGAGGAGCACATTTCTGGCACCCAGTGTTGACAAGAATCAACCGGACTGACAAGTGTTACCTTAGCACCCGACTTATAACGCATAAAATGCAACCTTGATACAAAATGGCTGCCATTAGAAGGAGAAACATAAATGCCAGGTGTATCACCATTAAACACAACGATCAACGTATAACTAGTGTTTCATTGCTTTCATCGTGCCCTTTTCTATTTAATGGATGTAAAATAACAAGAAAGTTAAAAAATAGCACAGCCCAATCAACATCATTTTTTTAAAATCGAATATCATTAGTTAAATTTCCCTAGCAATCCCTAGTTACTTATATTCATATATATTCAAATTCAAACGAATCTGCCATTTTTAAATGAATAAATGAAACTAATTAGTTTTAGCGATGACGTCACTTGAAGGCAGGTAACCAGCATCTCTTGGGTTCTACCTTGGTTAATGCGGGTTTATCATGGTCGTCCAGGCTTTTTAATCGAACGCGAGCAACGTTGTCTGCAAGTTGATGAAGGATAGGCAATAACATCTTTTTGTAGGTACGTCCCTACAGCTGCACTACATACGTCCCTACAGCTGCACTACATACGTCCCTACAGCTGCACTACATACGTCCCCACAGCTGCACTACATACGTCCCTACAGCTTCACTACATACGTCCCTACATCTGCACTACATACACCTGTACAGCGGCACTATATACGTCCCTACAGCTGCACTACATACGTCCCTACAACTGCACTACATACGTCCCTACAGCTGCACTACATACGTCCCTACATCTGCACTACATACACCCCTACAGCGGCACTACATACGTCCCTACATCTGCACTACATACACCCCTACAGCGGCACTACAAACGTCCCTACAGCTGCACTACATACGTCCCTACAGCTGCACTACACATACGTCCCTACAACTGCACTACATACGTCCCTACAGCTGCACTACATACGCCCCTACAGCTGCACTACATACGTCCCTACAGCTGCAATACATACGTCCCTACAGCTGCACAACATACGTCCCCACAGCTGCACTACATACGTCCCCACAGCTGCACTACATACGTCCCTACAGCTGCACTACATACACCTGTACAGCGGCACTATATACGTCCCTACAGCTGCACTACATACGTCCCTACAACTGCACTACATACGTCCCTACAGCTGCACTACATACGTCCCTACAACTGCACTACATACGTCCCTACATCTGCACTACATATACCCCTACAGCGGCACTACATACGTCCCTACATCTGCACTACATACACCCCTACAGCGGCACTACAAACGTCCCTACAGCTGCACTACATACGTCCCTACAGCTGCACTACATACGTCCCTACAGCTGCACTACACATACGTCCCTACAGCTGCACTACATACGTCCCTACAGCTGCACTACATACGCCCCTACAGCTGCACTACATACGTCCCTACAGCTGCAATACATACGTCCCTACAGCTGCACAACATACGTCCCCACAGCTGCACTACATACGTCCCCACAGCTGCACTACATACGTCCCTATAGCTGCACTACATACGCCCTTACAGCTGCACTACACATACTTTCCACACTGTGGTATGCGAGGCACTTATTTACCTGCATGAAAGCACCCTCAATCTGGCCGATGTCGATCGAAGGGTTCAGGCTTCTGCCAACATCCATCACAATGTCAGTCTGCAAAACCTGAAAGAAATTTCAGCGCCACAGCGAAATTTTTATTTATGTAGGTACGTATGGTTCTGTAATGTATACATATCTAGTCAAATATACTGATTCAATGTACTTATTTGACATTTGTATTGAAGTAAAACATATTATAGTAACTTAAAGGTACATGTAGAATCGGGTCAAACAAGCGAAAGTAGGGTACGTGTAGTAGTGTACATGGATCGGGCAAAACATGTGAAAGTAAGGTACGTGTAGTAGTATACATGGATCGGGCAAAACATGTGAAAGTAAGGTACGTGCAGTGGTGTACATGGATCAGGCAAAACATGTGAAAGTAAGGTACATGTAGTAGTGTACATGGGTCGGGCAAAACATGTGAAAGTAAGGTACATGTAGTGGTGTACATGGATCGGGCAAAACATGTGAAAGTAAGGTACATGTAGTAGTGTACATGGGTCGGGCAAAACATGTGAAAGTAAGGTTCATGTAGCAGTGTACATGGATCGGGCAAAACATGTGAAAGTAAGGTACATGTAGTGGTGTACATGGATCGGGCAAAACATGTGAAAGTAAGGTACGTGTAGCAGTGTACATGGATCGGGCAAAATATGTGAAAGTAAGGTGCATGTAGTAGTGTACATGGATCGGGCAATACATGTGAAAGTAAGGTACGTGTAGCAGTGTACATGGATCGGGCAAAACATGTGAAAGTAAGGTGCGCGTAGTAGTGTATATGGATCGGGCAAAACATGTGAAAGAAAGGTGCGAGTAGTAGTGTCCATGGATCGGGCAAAACATGTGAAAGTAAGATGCGTGTAGTAGTGTACATGGATCGGGCAAAACATGTGAAAGTAAGGTGCGTGCAGTGGTGTACATGGATCGGGCAAAACATGTGAAAGTAAGGTTCATGTAGCAGTGTACATGGATCGGGCAAAACATGTGAAAGTAAGGTGCGAGTGGTAGTGTACATGGGTCGGGCAAAACATGTGAAAGTAGGGTACGTGTAGTAGGGTACATGGATCGGGCAAAACATGTGAAAGTAAGGTTCATGTAGTAGTGTACATGGGTCGGGCAAAACATGTGAAAGTAAGGTACATGTAGTGGTGTACATGGATCGGGCAATACATGTGAAAGTAAGGTACATGTAGTAGTGTACATGGGTCGGGCAAAACATGTGAAAGTAAGGTGCGTGCAGTGGTGTACATGGATCGGGCAAAACATGTGAAAGTAAGGTTCATCTAGCAGTGTACATGGATCGGGCAATACATGTGAAAGTAAGGTACATGTAGTAGTGTACATGGATCGGGCAATACATGTGAAAGTAAGGCGCGAGTAGTAGTATACATGGATCGGGCAAAACATGTGAAAGTAAGGTTCATGTAGCAGTGTACATGGATCGGGCAATACATGTGAAAGTAAGGTTCATGTAGCAGTGTACATGGATCGGGCAATACATGTGAAAGTAAGGTACATGTAGTAGTGTACATGGGTCGGGCAAAACATGTGAAAGTAAGGTGCGAGTAGTAGTATACATGGATCGGGCAATACATGTGAAAGTAAGGTTCATGTAGCAGTGTACATGGATCGGGCAATACATGTGAAAGTAAGGTACATGTAGTAGTGTACATGGGTCGGGCAAAACATGTGAAAGTAAGGTGCGTGCAGTGGTGTACATGGATCGGGCAAAACATGTGAAAGTAAGGTTCATGTAGCAGTGTACATGGATCGGGCAAAACATGTGAAAGTAAGGTTCATGTAGTAGTGTACATGGGTCGGGCAAAACATGTGAAAGTAAGGTGCGTGCAGTGGTGTACATGGATCGGGCAAAACATGTGAAAGTAAGGTTCATGTAGCAGTGTACATGGATCGGGCAAAACATGTGAAAGTAAGGTTCATGTAGCAGTGTACATGGATCGGGCAATACATGTGAAAGTAAGGTGCGAGTAGTAGTGTACATGGATCGGGCAATACATGTGAAAGTAAGGTTCATGTAGCAGTGTACATGGATCGGGCAATACATGTGAAAGTAAGGTACATGTAGTAGTGTACATGGGTCGGGCAAAACATGTGAAAGTAAGGTGCGTGCAGTGGTGTACATGGATCGGGCAAAACATGTGAAAGTAAGGTTCATGTAGCAGTGTACATGGATCGGGCAAAACATGTGAAAGTAAGGTTCATGTAGTAGTGTACATGGGTCGGGCAAAACATGTGAAAGTAAGGTGCGTGCAGTGGTGTACATGGATCGGGCAAAACATGTGAAAGTAAGGTTCATGTAGCAGTGTACATGGATCGGGCAATACATGTGAAAGTAAGGTACATGTAGTAGTGTACATGGGTCGGGCAAAACATGTGAAAGTAAGGTGCGAGTAGTAGTATACATGGATCGGGCAATACATGTGAAAGTAAGGTTCATGTAGCAGTGTACATGGATCGGGCAATACATGTGAAAGTAAGGTACATGTAGTAGTGTACATGGGTCGGGCAAAACATGTGAAAGTAAGGTGCGTGCAGTGGTGTACATGGATCGGGCAAAACATGTGAAAGTAAGGTTCATGTAGCAGTGTACATGGATCGGGCAATACATGTGAAAGTAAGGTACATGTAGTAGTGTACATGGGTCGGGCAAAACATGTGAAAGTAAGGTGCGTGCAGTGGTGTACATGGATCGGGCAAAACATGTGAAAGTAAGTTACGTGTAGCAGCGTGGTGTATACGGATCACGTAAAAAGTGAAAGTAGGGTACGTATGGTTCCGTTGTGTATACGGATCATGTAAAACATGTGAAAGAAAATAAAGGTGTGTGTCGTAATGTGGTGTATATGGATCATTTGCATAACTTTATTCTTTGCAAGATTTTCAAATTAACAAAGTGCAAGTGCTAAAACATGCGCTTCATTTCCATAATTCCTGAAGATCTAATAAAACTCCTTGACACAACATCCCATTTAGACATGGCCCAGAGAGAGCAACCTACCTGGTGGTCACCTGTAAGACAATCGATCTCCACTTCGGAGCAAGCCACTCCACATGAGAAGTAGTTGAAGAACGTGCCCTTGTTTAGTTTTTCGTCATAGTCCAAACCTTTCGTGCTGAAATAATTCAGAAGGCACTGTAAATAGTCACTGTCTCAGCAGTCATCCTTGTCCACCTCTATTAGATGCATGGTGCTGCTATCTGCATTACAACATACGGCACAGTGCATTCTCTTTGACTAAGTCACTGGATGCTTTTAAAGTCTGCAATATTTCAGCTATATGGCTAAAAAATGTATAAAAAAAAGGAGTCAGGGTCGGCCACATCAGTGAGGGAGGCCATAATCCATGATACACGCCATCCAGGTTCGGTGATACACAATCATCAAAGCCACACATTGTAACAACTAGCTACTCATTTTAGTCATATCTTACGTCTGGTACTGGCTGCCGTACTGATAACCCACTACGGTTTGGTAGTCAAAACATATTTAAAAATATATGCACATGACATATTCTCATAGTAGACCACTCGTACTTCTTGTTAGTTTGGTTGATGGTCGCTTTGAGCAGTATTGCAGCTATATCACGGCATGTAAGCTTGGTGCTATGCTGGTCTTCGCGGCTTATCTCCAGCTGCAATCTTGTAGCAATCGGGGCGAATCCAGGATTCGAACCTATGATTTCTAGCTTACCTTGGAGACGCAACTCTGCACTGCGAATGGTGGCCAGAAGACGACTGGACTAACCCTGCCCTATTATAACTAGAACTATAACAAGTAAACTGGGTTTTATTTGTTGTGATTGATAATGGGTTACATATTGTCTATGCAGTATGAATTGTATGGCACAGTAGTATAACAATGAGTCAAACCAGTTGAGGTATAAAATTACTTACAAGAAGGAGCCTGAGGCCGACAACGGAACACGATCCATGTACGCACTGCTGACCTGTGAATCAGAACAAACCATGATGTCTTTTACTGTACAGTACAATCATTGTTAAGCAACAAATAGTCAACATGAGATGGGAGTGTATTGACATTGATGTCATCATTCGTGAATATACCCTCTTCAAAAAAAGAAACGCATAGTTATAAAATAAGGACATTCATTAAGCGGATGTAAAAGTATCTACACAGAATATGCGTGAACACAATCAAATGAAATTAGACACAGTGATCGACAAAAGCATTGTCGTCATTGTCAGCGTTAATTCAGTTCAGTCATTGCACATGTGTAGCCACAAGGGGGCGTCATGGTCAGTACCTGGTCACACCACCTCTTGCAGCCGTCACCTCCTGGCACAGATTGCGCAAGTGGGGAATTCTTCGCCATTCCTCCTGTAAGGCGTTGGCGAGTTGTGCCAGTGTGTGGGGACGCTGGTGACGTTGACGGATGCGTCGATCACGTTCGTCCCACAAATGTTCAATCGGGTTGAGATGAGGCGATTTGGAAGGACATTGATGTTCTCATTAACAAGGAAATTATCTGTTGCACGTGCTGTGTGGGGCTGAGCGTTGTCATGTTGGAACAGCTCCCTCTGGCGTTCCAAAGTTGGGAGGAGGTGAGGACGCAGAATTTGGTCTATGTATCGGTTTACTGTAAGATTGCCCTGGACAACCACTAACTGTGATTTACCCGTGTAGGATATGGCTCCCCACACCATGACACTCCCTCCACCAAATCGGTCCACCTGTCGAACGCAGTTCGGCGCAAAACGTTCACGTCGACGTCGGTATACACGTTGTCTTCCATCCCGTCGTTGAAGAACAAAACGTGACTCATCGCTGAACCAAACGCGTTGCCAGTTCCTGAGATCCCATGCCTGTACCCTGTTGCACCACCGGACACGTCGTTGACGGTGTAGACGTCGCAAGAAAGGTCCAACATTTGGTCGTCTCGCTCGAATTCCCACTCCCACAGACGATTTCTGATGGTTTGGTCGGAATTTCTTCTCATGCCAGGCACTTGTCCTGCAGTTTCCGTTGCTGTAGCAAATCGATTCCGAAGGGGATGCAACCGGATGTACCGATCCTGAGCAGGGGTGGTCACTCTTGGTCTTCCACTTCTGGGATGATCTTGAGTCGAATTAGTGCGGGTATATCGATCCCATAGTCAAGATATGGTGCTTTGGTGAACGTTGAAGTGTCGGGGACTCCCCTGCTTCCAAACGTCCAATGGCGATATTTCGGTCAGCTGCAGTTAAATCTTGGCATTTTTCGATCTCCGTTTACGTCAGAAAATTCGTAAAGAACTTATAGTCAGTGTCTCTACTCTTGTTTCCAACATTTTGCACGTGCATTGTGCTGAAAACATTTTTCTGAAAGCAAATTCCGTGCATCCTTTGCATTTTTGCAGAAAAACGTTTACCAAAAACATTTTGAGATGTGTTTGCGCGCAATGCACAACAAACATGACATGATTAACGTCTTTATGACGATTACTGGATAAAGAAACTAATTGGAATTCTCAAAACACCTATGCGTTTCTTTTTTTTTGAAGAGTGTAGTAGCAATTTTCACATTAACTTCTAAATATGACCCATATCTCATTCTTTAACCTGATATATTTAACAATATGAAAAGACGTACCCAGTCGGACCAGTTTCCCTTTGGCTTGGCCTTGATGTAAGGCTCGAGACGTCCTCTGAGTATTTCACAGGCATTCTGAAAGGTGATCAATGTAATTTCCAAACTGTTAAGAACATAACTTCTTTAAGTGGCATTTAAGAACAGTTAAGAACATACGTTGTCTTCTCAATTACATTTTCATAATCGACATGCAAACAAGTGGATCTAAGGCACACATTATAACCCCATGTTTCATCAGAAATCCTCCTGTAGTATTATGGGTGTTCTTTTTTCACAAGTATAGGATTACATATTACATTAACCCCTCTCATTGCTGAAATAATACTTATATTTGAATGTTTGTGTGACTCAGGTTATGTTCTTTCAGGCCATCCGGAGCCTTCAATACTGCTGTGCACCTTAACACTTTATTAGCCAAATACTATCATTTAATGTTTGAGAAACTTCGTTTCTAAAATTTATTTTTGACGTTTCGACCTAACCTCTCGTCAAGAATGGTCGAAGAGGAGACGTCATGTCTCTTAATCCCCTAATCCCTTATAATATTTTTTCTGGGCAGGTCATTTTCAGAGCTGGATTGACAAAAGTTATTTCTTAGGCAGGAAAAGCAGGATGGGAAGCGTGATTATGAAAATACGCCGCCCACACACTGTGCCCATCCAGGTATATACTCACGCACCTGCACTGCTCCTCCATTGAGATCTGACCCGGAGCTGGCGGCGGTGGGACTGGTGTATGGGATTTTGTCTGTTGCAGTATCATTGATGAAGACATCAGATGCAGGAACACCTAACGCTCGACTCGTCACCTGTCAAATACAAAAATAATTACTGGAAATCATGCATCATCACTGACACAAATGACCTTTTGTGATACATATTCACCGACAAAAGAAACGCGAATACCATACCATGTTGGTTGATATTTAAAACATTACTCATATTCAAGGAATAATAGATTGGTTCGACGCACAAACGAACATACTGGTATGTTTCGTATCCACGCTCATGCACGCATCACATGTGACGTCATAGACCAGTGACTCGAGATGCATCATTTGTCTGGTGCAGGATTAGCGTGTAAAGTTTGGAAATCATGTGCAGCATATCGTGATAAGAACAAAGACACTGTGGTAACACTTAACTGATTGTTAGTTTTGTCACATTGTGGTACACATCTCTTAAAGTACATACTTCTCAAAATGTTTCTTTGGTTCGCGTTTCTTTTGGCGGTAGTATATAATTATCAGTGAGCTGTTAAAAGGTCAGTATATATCACCAACACAACGTTTCAGATTGAATACATAAGTATAAACAGTATGCACGTAATATAGCTAGAGTATAGTATTATGTTTCAAGGTCAGCAAATAGCGTCAACACAGGGTCTCAGCCTATATGGATGAAGGCAGTATGTATGTAATACATCTTCAGTATAAAAGCATTATGAATTAATCAAACATAACCATGTATGCACTAATTTAGGAATTACCTGAATCATCTTCGTGTGAAGGCCCTGTCCCATCTCTACCCCGCAGTGAGATACCAACACAGACCCGTCCAGGTAGAGCGTCACCAGGGCACAGGCCTGATTAAGGAACTTAGACGGAGCCTCATACGACAGGCCGAACTTGGTTGGAATTACGCACAATCCACGCTTCTTCCATCGGCTTTCACTGAAGTATATAAAGTCAGTATATTTTAATGTAAGTACCACTGAGTTTTTGTAAATCTGATTTAGTTGCTTTGGCTAGTTTTTCGATTTGAAAGGATTAGTTGTACATTGTTTTGTTGTGCGTCTGGGGAATAACACCGGAAGTGACGTCAGTGGGTTTTTTCCATTCTTTCTTAAATGTAAACCTCTCTCAGGATACATATCTTGTGTCGCCTCTTGTCATCGTCCTGTACTCCAGACGTGGTCACGTATATAGGTATGAGGTCAGAAGTGCTAGGTTACACGTCTTGCAGGTAACGTTATCATGTAATGCATTTTACAGGACCCGTGAAGATCCGCGGTAGAAAAGGTCTAGAGCAACCCATGCTTGCGGTAAAAGGCGACTATGCTTGTCGCAAGAGGTGACTAGCGGGATCGGGTGGTCAGGCTCGCTGACGTGGTTGATGCATGTCATTGTATACCAATTCCGTGGATTGATGCTCATGATGTCAATAACTAGATTGTCTGGTCCAGACTGTTTACAGACCGTCGTCATATAGCTGGAATATTGCTGAGTGCGGCGTTAAACAACGAACAAACAAACAAGCAAACAAAGCATTTTACGGTATCACCAATTTGAACATATTTTGTGTAAATATACACAACGCCATGTTTATTTGTTTATTTTAGCTTTTGTCCCATTGAAACCTGAATCCAGTTTGACCAGGCCTGTGATTGATATTATTGGTAACGTCCCATATCGAAGAGGTAGGATGACATGCCATCAAGCAAATCAACGAACCAGTGACCACACCATCTATTTCGTCTCATACGACAAGCATAGGCTACTAGATTCCTAACCAGGACAAATTATATTAAGATAGACAGGTAATGATGTAGCACATAATTCATACCAGTATCCGCCATTCCCTTTACTAAATCTCAAATGTTTGTCGGGCACATAATTTTGGGTGCATTATATATTAATGAACGCCGATTTGATCGTATTCATGTCTTGTGTAAGGGGTGGAACAAACAAAATAGATAATATCGCATAAATAAAAGTACCTGTTAAACTTGTCTACTTCTTTTCTTCTCTGTGTAAAACCGCTCTGTGACACACATTCCGACCAGAGTCGTGGCAGGTGCGCGTCAATGACAGGCTGGTTATAGTGGGTTAGCTCCCCTTCCTTGTACAGGTTCTTGGATCGAATCTGAAACATTATTCACACGTTTCGATATATTCATAATTGTTTCACCATAAAGCAGTGTTTAATTCAAAATTTTAAATTGCACTGTGCACAAACAAGATTCAGATTTTCGATCCATGGAGAAGATTGCGTGTTTGAATCCTTAAGCAACGCTTACAGCAATTTATCGGAGTCGCCTATTGCGTTTTTCACAGACCAATTGTTGTCTTGTATGTGGATTTTGATGATCCCCTTCCCCGAAAGAGAAACTATCTCATGCAAAAAAATAAAAAGGCACAGCTAATCCTTAATCTATATTCATGAGAAATGCATTTGCAAAATACAGAATGAGACATTTATTGTAAGCTGCATACATTTGTCACAGGTTCGTGGCTTCAAACTAGGACGAGAAAATAATTTATATGTTCGAACCTCTGCCGTATATCAGTACAATGCCTGGATTCTGATTTATCACAAAGAAGCAGTTTACAGGTAGAGGAATGCAGGCTCAATGGTGTCACTCTTGACCCCTTACCACTTCTCCTGGTATATTGAGGAAGTCCGCCATCTTGTCTATCACAGATTCGGTCACAAACATGCCTTGTGGCGCTCCGAATCCCCTGAAGGCGGTTGCTGATGGGATGTTTGTCTTACACATGCGGCCCACGACGTTGATGTGGGGAATGAAGTAGGCGTTGTCAACACCAGACACGGCCTTTGTCATCACCTGGGTACATGCAATCTATGTAAAACCATCTGACTGCAATCCGGAAAAGACCTAATGGAGGGATGGATGGATGGATTGAGGAGGAGGAGGAGGATGATACCGTCACCTTTAAATACAGTTTTTTTGGGTTTTTTGTTTGTTGTTTAACGCCACATTTAGCAATATTCCAGCTATATGAAGGCGGCCTGTAAATATTCGAGTCTGGAACTGATAATCCAGTGTTTGACATCATGAGCATCGATCCACGAAATTGGGATACGATGACATGCATCAACCAAGTCAGCTAGCCTGACCACCCTTTTACGACAAGCATAGTCGCCTTTAATGGCAAGCATGGGTTGCTGAAGACCTATTTTACCCCGGATCTTCATGGGTATACTTTCAACACAGATTTTAATCATTCTATTGGCAATCTATTTATATGTTTTTACTTTATGGTACTCTGTCCTTTACCTCTGGCGAAAGATCAATGGTGGAACCACTGTTGGAGAAAAGCTTCACATCGTACGCCATAATCCTTCCCGTGGATGTGAACCCAACCTGTTGAAACAATACACATTTTTGAATAGTGTAATAAAATAATTTAAACATTTTACTTATATTATACAAGATTCAATACCGAAACATTCCATAATCGGAAGGATAAATACATATTTAGACAAACTATTGACAGCAGTGTACCTTGACCCCGTGGGGATTCGGGAACAGAATAACTCCGGAACACACATATTCATTATTTGTATAGCTAGCTTATCCGACGGGGCCCATAGCAGCATATTAAATTGCCAGAACCGCGTCCTCAAGTGCTTTAGACATTTTGGTATAGCCGACTGTACCTTGTGCTTTTCGTAACTTAAACGGATGAACAGACTGAAAGTGTGTTATCGTAGTTGGATGGATTGTTGCTCATGCTTTCAACCACCGGTTGATACAGAGGTGGGGCGCGAATGCTTTTTTCCGACACCTTATTTAACTGGGCATTTGGCTAAATAACCTCGTGTCCTTGGTATACACACCCTCCACACTTCTGTTTTTCAGAATCCTGGATTCGCCGATGTTAATTTTAACCGAATGTTCATTGGCCCGGGTTAGATTATTCACAGGCCGTTGTGATAATGTCGGAAATGTTGCTGACTGTTGCAAACACGCTTATTCACTCCCTAAACTACCCCCCTCCCCTCCTCCCGTCCATTCGTACATCCTTTATTTCAGCTCACACACAGAATACCTTATATCTGCCGATGAATGCATGACGTGTTCCGGTGATAACCATGTCCTCGTCCCTGTCAAGCATACAGCGGACGGGTCGGCGAAGTCTGGAATGTGATGTAGAGACGTGCATAATAGACGTTATTTCTTGTTAAAATTGTAGCCAACAATTTCGCTCACAGGTCTGCCTGGCAATTGGTTAATTGCTGAATTGGTTATGGGATGGAGGTTATTTAACATCGATCTGAGATGGTCTGTATGTATAACTTAATCACGAGATTGCATGAGAGACAACTGAATTTACTGTGATGTTTAGATATGGTATCACACGCAGTCCAATACCGGCACATTCTGACCTTGCCGTCGTACGTCTTTTGGACGTTAAACATTATGTAGATCAAAATATAATCTTGATCGCCTGGGTAATTCCGCTGTTACATTTGTCAATGAATGCATAGGACAGTCTTACTTTAAATTTACATGTTCTCACAGCAGGCAGTAGATATTGATTGTAGAGAGGGAGACAGAAGAATAATATAATATTTCGTTACAAAAATAAAACAAAACTTGTTCTTGGCCGTACTTGTTTGCCGCGACAGCTACGGGTAGTGCAACTGAGATAGTTCGGCTCTGTTTCCCTCCGAATCCTCCTCCTATGAATGAATGAAACAAGTGAACACATTGTTTGTGAGTGAGTGAGTGAGTGAGTTAGGTTTAACGCCTCTTTGAACAGTATTGGTGTTATTTCACGGCGTGTTAGCCTAGGAAAGATTGAAGTGATGCAGTTCTGTCTCCGACGTTTACCACTCTGGTGAAACCCACGAGTACGGGTCGGGTGTTGACAAAATATATCGGGGCGGGCGGGGATTAGAGACAACTCTGAGTGAGTGAGTATGATTTTACGCCGCTTTTAGCAATATTCCAGCAATATCACGGCGGGGGACACCAGAAATGGGCTTCACACATTGTACCCATGGAATCGAACCCGGGTCTTCGGCGTGACGAGCGAACGCTTTAACCACTGGGCTACCCGACCGCCCCAGAGACAACTCTGCACAGTGAATTGCGGCTTCTTAGATGATTGGAACACCCGTGCTCCCAAAAGGCAGTGTGAAAGAAAAGATCATCTGATATAGAGAATATAATCAACACCAGGTCCTTTAACACTCAGGGTATGAAACTTCCTGAAACGCACTCCGATGAAGGGCACCAGAACAACTGCATTTTACAAATAGTACCCGTATCAAACATGTCCTTTCACGACGAGTCAGCTGGTGTTATCGCCGAAAGGTCACTGACATGTTTGTGCTCATGATCAATGCTGTATTTGCATGCTACTGAGCGCGGGTGGATCAACACTATACAAATAATTACTCTTGACGAGGTCAGTATGCGAGTGAGTGAGTGAGTATGGTTTAACGCCGCTTTTAGCAATATTCCAGCAATATCACGGCGGGGAACACCAGAAATGGGCTTCACACATTGTACCCATGTCGGGAATCGAACCCGGGTCTTCGGCGTGACGAACGAACGCTTTAACCACTAGGCTACCCGACCGCCCCGGTCAGAATGCGAAAACAAGGACACGAGAACCCGACCCCTGAGGTGGTCTGAGAAACCCGAAGCCACAGCTCAAGGTCACGGTCAAATCACCGAAGGGGTCGGGTCGTGACGGTTTTGTTATACCGTTTTGTTAAACCGAAACTCACTTTAAAGTTTATGAAGCCTTTAAACATGGTTTCGCAGACGAGACAATATTCATCACGTGACAGGTCAATGCTGATCATGTGACGCGTCAATATTCGAGATCAGTGTCAGTCACATGATTTCGGGGTCTACATTGAAATGTATTGTTTGGTCACGTGGTACGGATTAACCAATGGAATAGAATATAAAAGAGGTATAACAAATACGTTTGCAGAGTAGCATCATTTCACTAATCGCGAGTTCCCGGATTTGCAATGATAATATTATTATTATCATATTATACATTTATATACCGCAGGTATCCAGATGTAGTATCAACTCAAAAGCGGTTTTATCGGTGGATCCGTTCGCATTCCGGTTCGCATTCCGCTTATCATTCTCAACTCCCTGGGGAGTATACAACCCAAACTGCATTATGGCGCTAAGAAAGTTTTTTTCATCCACCTCACATATCGGGCACCCATTCCGTGCTGGGTGAACAGAGGCACATTTGAACTAAGTCCGTTGCCCTGCGTACACAATTTTTGACGCGTGTGTTTCGTGTGTATGTACGTATTCGTGTCCTTGACCTTGACCTTTGGGTTTCACACAGTTGTAAACTTTAACGTCCATCGTCACTTTAGCTTTCTTCCCACATTGTTTTTAATTTATTTATTGTTAAACCCTCAACTCAGCAATATTTCAGTTATACACCGACGGCCTGTAAATAATCAAGTCAAGACAATCCAGTGATATATATTGTGAACAAAGTCCACGGTGTTGCGTGATACCACCTACCTATTCTTTTAACACGAGATATCACTTTGTTGGCTCTCACTCCCAGTGTTTCTGCTACCGTGTGCTGAAATATACCCAGTGATCATTATCAATTGTATGATTGTATTTATTATAACACCCCGTAACACTTTGACATTCAGACACATTTCACTTGTCAATAAAGAAACGTAATCATTTCAGTTTACAGACTTTATCGACTTATACTACTTCTGTGAATCCACATATGTGTTTTCTTTGTAGTTATTCATGGAAATCAAGATGAATACGATCATAATAGTTTACACATTGGATACTGCTATATGACTCCATGTCTTCAAATGATGAGTCCACGAGTGGCCTGCCCTGTGCAGAGTTCCGTCTCCTAGCTGTGTTAGAAATCATGATCAGGTGTTCGATGTCTGGTTCAGCCTGATTGTGTTTCTAGGTTTGTCAGAAGCATGTCCACGCTCCTGGCGTTCATTAAAGCGTCTAGACCATGGGTCACTTCGAGATTTCATCCCACTTCAAGCATCAAGCTTGATAATAAAACTTATTCAAAACGTTAAACAGTCGCACTGTTCAATCAAGTCAGGTCAGGTCCTCAGCAGGTCCAAGGAAAGACGTGGAAGAGGATGATTTCGATTTTAATAGATGACGAGCTTCATTATTGCCAACTGTACCTGTATTTGAGACGGGAACTGTGAGTTAGTGTACAACTCCATGACGCCCTCTTCCCGACTAGGAATTGCTGCTGCGGCCTGAGTTTCCAGATAGAAGTGTTCCTGAGATCCGATCTCTATCTCACCTTCCAGAAAGTGATCGGATTGGCTGAAACCGACTTCAAGGTCACCACGTGACAAACTGGTCACTTTGTCGAAGAAAGATTTCGCCGCTTCTGCTTCCTGGAGGTTAAATATAGAAACAAGGTATTCTAAACATCACAATTATTACGCGTGTTAGCGTGTACAGATTTGTCATCACGAAACGACGAAACCAGAACTCTTTGTACACTGTACTAGCGTTGTGGGATGAAACATGCACTGTGTACTCCAAACTGCTTAAACTTTATACCGTCTGGATAAAAACGAATCATTCATAATATTTCAATATTTCATTTAGTAACAATGAAATAATTGTTGCAAGTCATTTATGAATAATGACGGACAATTTAATATTTGAATCGTAAATTACAAACACTGAACTGAATTAATGTTATTGTATAAAGAATCCAACAATCGGGTGTGTTGTCTTGTACATGATTGCGCAGGCAATTATTAAAGTCAGCAGAATTTAGTTAGAATTTAGCAGATGGGGCCCAGTTAGAGATAGTCTACAGGCTGCTGAGAGTCACCCTCGGCTACGGACAAGATGGTGCTTCAACATATGGTAAAAACCTACATTTGTGTTATCCCTACCTATCTCTAAAATTTCTCAGCGATACCGCAGGTCTTTTATATACTATTGTCCTGCTGTTTTGATGTTGTTATAAGTGTTTTTGACAGTAGGGCATTCGTGTTTTAAAGTCACTTTAGTTGGTACATATGAAATGGGCCCTTTTCTGGTGAAACGTTTTAGAGTTGAGGATTGCTTAAAGTATATACTGTAACAGATATTTATGCAATATCACGTTGGTTCACAAAAAACGTTATATGCATTGTTAACCCTGTTTCTAACCATGTATCATTACTTGCATAATATTTGTTTGTTTGTTTGTTGTTCAACGTCGCACTCAGCAATATTCCAGCTATATGACAGCGGTCTGTAAATAATCGAGTCTGGACCAGACAATCCAGTGATTGTCATCATCAGCATCGATCCATGCAATTGGGAAACGATGAAATGCTTCAACCAAGTCAGCAAGCCTGACAACCCGATCCCGATAGTCGCCTCTCAAGACCGCATTGTCGCCTTTTACGACAAGCATGGGTTGCTGAAGACCTATTCTACCCCGGATCTTCACGGGTCTACTCACATATTCAGTCATAGGGTGAGCATGTGGGGTTTGTTCAGAAAGCAAACCTTTATTGTGATGATTGGTTGGAGTTCCTCATATACAATCTTGACCTTATCTGCTCCAACACGAGCTCGCTCTTGTGTGTCAGCAACTACGGCACCGATTATCTGCCCTTGGCAAATAACCTAGAATTGTAACAGAGATTATGTTCTGATTAAATACCAACGGCAATGCACACAAGCAAAAGGCCTAATTTGCTAGAGGTATTGATATTGGATCAAAGCCGCATGTCACAATACTTGCAGGCCTTCACGGTTTAAGAGTGATGATTAAACATACATCACAGTCATAGGGTTTGGTGGGAGAGCCTAGTGGTGAAGGTATTTGTTTGTCATACCCTTCATGGGAATAACATGTGGAGGCCATATCTGGGATATTTCTAACATCAACTCACTCACTCACATAGTTAAAGGGGGCATTTGACATCTATACTGGTAAGGGATCGGAAGGAGTGAGTGAGTGAGTGAGTTGGGTTTAACGCCGCTTTTAACATTATTCCAGTTATATCACGGCGTGTCAGCTAAATGTGGGAGGAAAGCCCGAAGTGATGCAGGTCTTGGACGTTTACCACTTCGGTGAAACCCACGAGCACGGGTATGGTGCTGACAAACCTAGAAACATAATCGGGGTGAACCGGGATTTGAACCCACAATCATAGGTTTCTGGCGTGTCCAGGGGATGCAACTCTGCACAGCGAATCGCGGCGCCTTAGACGATAAGGGACGGACCAAAGTTACTGCAACTAATGACTCCTCGTATGACAATATCATGAATGAGTATGGTTTTACGCCGCTTTTAGCAATATTCCAGCAGCATCACGGCGGGTGACACCAGAAATGGGCTTGACAATGTCATGAAAGCTAGCACAAAACACAATCATAGTTATGATATAACTTAAACCGAATTCAGGGGAACGGGTCGATTGGTTTACAGTCTTTTTGAATTCGCATCGTTTGAATGAATTAATTTACAACTTGGTTTTTCATTCACCTCATTTGCTGCAAAGATCTCTTCTTCATAGGGCACAACGGCCCCCCATCTCTTAGTACCGGGGATATCTCTGTGGTCTATGTAGTCGACCACGCCGGGTAGATCCAGAGCTTCAGATGAATCCACTGTCACAAGGCGAGCGTGTGGCTTGGTACTGATCACCATAGAAAGGTACAGTTCATCTGAAAGACATGAGGGGCGGTCGGGTAGTCTAGTGCTTAAAGCCTTCGCTCGTCACGCCGAAGACCCGGTTTCGAATCCCGACATGGGTTCAATGTGTGAAGCCCATTTCTGGTGTCCCCCGGCGTGATATTGCTTGAATATTGTTAAAAGCGGCATAAAAACACTCACTCACTCACAGAAAGACATGAGTCAATGTTACTCCTATAAATTCCCGAGTGAAGCATTCCAGCCCATTACTCGGTCTGTATGTTAATACATTTTCAATATGTTCACCCGTTGTTAAAGCGATTCTGGGCAACTGTTGTGATTCTGGTCTCCGTGATCCTAGAGGGTCCCTAATGGTGCTATGTGGCTGATATCTTGCCCAGTGCAAATAAGAAAATAGTGCTCTGGACAACGTTGAAATGCCTTGCCAGTGATGCTTGTGATTCATAAGACTCAAGTCAACCAATAGCGTTATTTCTCGCATTATTATTGAGTCTCCGCTAGACGGTCTTTAAAATTCACTTCGTAAAGTGAATAAACTTTCTCAAGAAACTGGTGATGAATTCAAGCAAATAACTTTCGTTGACAAAAAAACTTTCTCGTTTTGAGCTCTCATGTCACATCAGTCCCAGATGCCTTGTAGAACTGAAAAACTGTCATCCGTGGCATTAACCTCAACTAACTCACCTTCGTGTTTAGGGAGATCGTCAACATACACAGCCTCTCCTGTTGTCTGTTGTTGGGCGGAGACATGCACGAGCGGCCTCCCAACAGCGTCACCCGGGGACTGTCCATCCGGCACATCCTCAAACACCTGGACCCCTTTACTGACCGCTCGTGTGATGTCGCCACAACCAGACACAATCTCCGAGACTATTTTGTTGTTCACGTCATGTCCCTACAAATACATAAAAAGTTTAATTACCAGATTTGCCTTCGTGCTTTCGACGCAGTTCGAAGGTTAAGCATCAGATATACTGTCACTACGTATGAACTTCTGCGCTATTTAATATCATATCAGTTACGTTTGATATTTTAGTTCGTCACGCCGAAGACACGGGTTCGATTCCCAACATTGGTACAATGTTTGAAGCCCATTTCCGGTGTCCCCCGCCGTGATATTAATATTGCTGGAATATTGCTGAAAGCGCCGTAAAACCAAACTCACTCACTCATTACGTTTGATATGTTCGAACATAAATGAAATTCCTTGATTCGCGACCGATGATCAATAAAAGACCCAACGGTTTCTGTGAGGAACGTCTTCATAATTAAATACCAAGAACATCATTCTCTCACAATAACTTGGTTCTGCCGAAAGTTTCACTGATTAACGGTTTTCTTTCCAAATGGTCAAATTAAAAAAATAATTATAAAAAATGAAATAGCAACAGGAGCCAAATTTAGACAATCGAACACAAACAGTGTTCTTCGAATATACATCCTAACTTTCATATCAGTATCTTCAATGTTTTCAAGTCTTTAAGTGTGCCAAAGGAAGGACACATCCCGTTAACTTTACACGGCTAATCTGGCGGGGAATAACTACTATACGAGAGAAAGAAAATACATCAATGTTGATAATAACATTAAGGGTATGTAAAACGTACTTATGTTTGCACTGAGCGACTTCGAGGGAATTATGGTATTGTACATGTACCTTATCAATAAGTCTCTTCGTGACAGACAGGTAGAACTTGAAGAAGAAGCTGGTAGTGAGAGTACGGCGGTACTCCACCATGCCACCTGGTGAGCCAGGATCCAAGGGGAGATCACTCTCAAGGGTTCGGCAAGCTTCGTCTACAAGCTCATCATTCCAGGAGCTGAAACAGACCAATCAACATAGAGAAATTCTAAGAATACTGAAGTAAATAATTATAATCACAATTTTAGCGCAACGAATTAAGTTTGCATCAATAACCCAAAACATGATCACTGATATTATACATTTGCATGTGCACATACCGTCCCACTAGAGCCTCCATAGTCTTCGTGGCGAGGACTATTGTTGGGGCCATGCCACCATACGCAAGAGTAATCTCCCTTACGACGTCAGTCCCTTTCAGAAACTCCACCTTCATGCCAGCGTTCACAATGGAGATGTCGTCATCTTTGCGATGGGCCTGCTTGAAGCCGCTGAAATATTCGTTCTGAAGGCGAAACGAATTGTTAAGTGCTTAGTTGTGTTCTTATCTGTATGTTGGAATAGGATAAAGTTTTGAAACGACGTCCTTGAGCGGAACTGGGTTTAACTTTTTTATATGCATTTTTAACATTTTTGTGTTGATATTGTAAAGATTTGTAACTTTGTTACTACATATCATTGATTACCTGTAATTTAACTATCATTTTATATACAGTTGTACCTAGATGACCCAGATAAATGCAATAGCCCAAACTTACTTGGGAGGTGTACGGTAAGTGGACAGATACCAGAACTTCTTCTGAAGCTATGGCTGTTTTTCGATATCCAGTGAAGAAGTGTTTGTCCATTTTAACCACGCGGATCCCATTTGCTGAAATAAAACAGTTTCTAAGGACTTTTACCATGGAAGACGAATATATGTAACAAATGCGTTGATCACATGAATTTCACACTGACAAAATTACTGTTGGAAGGCTACAATACCTTTTGTGAGAGAGTAAATGGTATTTTGCCACAGTCCACAATATTCCAGCTATTTCACCGCAGCCTGTCAGTCATCTGGTTTCACTCTGATTGATATGAAACATGTTGACGTTAACAAAAACAATTCGCCATGGTCCCCTTAACATTATGGCTATCGTTAGCCAATGTTTTAGTCAGGGAGTTACAACCATCTTCACGCCTAAATCGCTTTGTGGAAGTGAGCCCAGGTCACACATCGTGTTTTACTCGTCCCGACTGTTTATAGGCTCTTTCGACAAGTACGGAGAATTTGGGGCCTATTTATCCCAAGATCATCAGGAGTATACAAATCGTAGATAAACATTATGTGTTTTCAGATTTACGGATGTTATAGAGTATTCAATGCCGGGAAACCGACGGTGAGAGCCGAAGGTTCAAATATCAGAATTTCCGGCATCGAATACCTCTATTTGATTTCTTACAATTTCCATGCATCAAATACTTAATACCATCCGCAAATAAAAAAAATTTAATTTTTTGTCGACATTATATGCTTCCGTGATATCTGAACTCTCCTGGTAAGCTAAATGTGCCAATAAAATACTAAAACGAATTTTTCCTGATGTACATTGAAGGGGTATTCATTTCGCCAAGACAAATGACCCGTTTTTTTAAATTTGGAATTGACAAGAAAAACGTTACTTATCAAGAAAAAAGTATTCATTTGCATTGAGAAGTCCGAAAAACTTCAGGTATTTAATTCCCATTAACAACTGTTTTTAGTTTTTTTATATAATGTACTCTACAAACGGCGTGACATTAATAAACTATTTTGTATTTCATTTGTATTTATTTAAACCAATCATTTTTCAGCACACACCCATTCAGTTTACAATACCTTTCGATCCGACAGTGAGCTCCGCGCCTGCAGCAACGAAGAGCGGATTGAGATCCGAGATAGGGCTTGCTGTCATGACGTTACCGCCGATACTCTGGTGCAGTAAGCAATATATATAATGTTTCAATCAGTATAACCAGCGGATTTATTTGTTATCACCTGCAAAGCTCCAATTGTATTCACGTGTGTGAATTTTCAATCGTACACGTATTAGTAATAAAACATATCTTACTTTTGAAACAAATACTAGTTTTAATTAACATTGACCGTAAATGTAGCAATATTAAAGCAATATCAAGGTTTGGGATACGAAGAACACAAAACACCAATGATGAAAACCAAAGCCGGGCGAGAAAAAGCGAATGCCAGAAACCACGAGACTGCATTGATTCCCTGACTGAGTTCATGAACAAGCGCTTACCGCAACGTTTCTGATTTGATGACCCGCGAACCATCGCAGCATTTCAAGTATAGAAGCGAAGACACGTGTTTGAGACTCTGGAGAGACATATAATTATAGTTATATCAGCAAGCTCCCAAACACAACATTGTGACAGTCAGGAAGCACTTGAGTGAGTGAGTGAGTGAGTTTGATTTTACGCCGCTTTTAGCATTATTCCAGCAATATCACGGCGGGGGACACCAGAAATGGGCTTCACACATTGTTCCCATGTCGGGAATCGAACCCGGGTCTTCGGCGTGACGAGCGAACGCTTTAACCACTAGACTACCCGACCGCCCCAGGAAGCACTTGACTTCGGACAGCACGCGAATGGGATGGTTTGCCAGATTTACCATTGTCACTGTGAGCAGACACATATTGTTTACTTGGACCCAAACGCGCTCAAACGTACTTTATTAAACACATTTAATCATTAAGGAAGCAACATCATTCATCATGCTACGTTTGCAACGTGCTCAACGTCTACGTGCCACAGGTAGATTAGTCGGAACCATGACATAAAGAAGTCGGTGGCATCTTTCAGGATGATAATACAAATGCAAATAGTACCAGGATTGTGACTCAATTTCTCCAACAGCCAAATATCCATGCCATGCCATGCCATGGCCAGCACTGTATCCTGACTTTTCCCCATTGAACATGTCTGGGTCGTCATTGGCAGCTCAGACACGTACGTAAAAGTCAAAATCAACCAACCACTATCAATGATATCAATGCTGATCTCATTGATGAGTGGACCAACATGAATCAGTCTGACATTTGTCGACCCATCAGAAGCAAGCCTTGAAGAAATCGTTCATGACTGGTCAACAGCGGTGGTTTTACCCAATATCAGTGACGTTGGCTGCAAAAATACAAATTTCAAATTGGCCCAAAACCTCTTTAACGCCCGAGTGCGCCACAATCTCATTACATCAACCATTAGCACCCATTATACGTGAATTTTGCTTCGATAAATGAGTTTCACCTGGTCTTTCAGCTACAGCCTTCTCTAGGACAGCCTGCAGGGTTGAGAGGGTAACCGAAGCACCGAACACCAACCCTGTGTCTGTGACTCGAGTCTGCATCAGTTCAGTGATGTGAGTAGCAGCAATCAGCACTGGGTAGTCCATCTTCTTGAACTTTATTTCAATACCTGAACCATATGACAAAAACACTTTTAATTTATGGGTCAGGTGGTTGTACTTCACGTCTATTACATCTTTAATATCAGTCTGGGTGGTGACTGCAATTTTATTACAAGCACTATGTTTAGAATTTCCCTCATTTGTGTCTGATGAAACATTTGCGAATAGTTCGTGGAAAACAGAACACGGTTAAACAAAAGAGTCACAAGAATTATTTAGCATGATACGCCATATTATCGCTGTAGTTTATTTATAATGGATCGTAATGGCGAACGCTAACTAACGTTTTAAGTATTTCATTGCAAAATGTTTCTTGTTGTTTGTTTAATTTTCATGACACATCAATCAGGATTGATCGATGCTGATTTTCTTTACATGTGTTTGTGACAGGTGCCACCGGTTGGGCAGGATACACTCACCTCTTCGCGAACCGCTGGTGTCATTATTATTTGGTAGCGATTCATCAACACATTCTCATGATATAGTCGGAATCGTACAATTGACTCTGCTCTATGCAGAGATTTCTATTGGATATGGAAAGGGTTTTGTCGCTTCATTTACTGAGTTCGGTAAACAAAGTACCCGTCATTAGCGACTCGAGAGCGGGCAACTCTCTATTATAGCGGTGTCACTTTTGTAAGGTGTGATACGTGTGGATTGTTTTGGATTATGCACAATCAGTATGCATACGACCTAAGTAAGGTCAAGGGGCATCGTTCAAACAAAAAGGTTCTTTTCTTACCAATTTCGAATGGAGGTACATGTAGGGGCAATTCCACTTCAAAAACATTAGAAAATCTATCATAAGAAAGTGAACCTGTATACTTAAGAGTAGCCGTGACATACCGCAACGAGTCCTGAATTCGACCAAGCGATGAAATATCGTGCTTAGATTTTCCTAAGTAGACAGTCAGCAGGGGGTGTTGATTATGAAATTTATCAACACCGCGATAATATAGAGCCCTCGAAAATACTATATATCGAGATAATTATTCCGATACTCACCCACTTCCGTATTACCAACAACCATTTTGGCAGAAGGAAACTTGGCTTTGAGTTCATACACCTCCTCCAATGACACTGGTCTGAACCACGTCACTTTGTCGTTTTTGTAGCATAATGAGGTTTGAAAAGCGCTGTGTCTCGTCTACAACATATGTAGAGGACGTCAATAAACTCCCTCATAGGTCCCAAAAAGGTTTCAGTTTGAAATAATAAACCACTCGCTCTAAGCTTCACATGTAGATCATTGTCGTTTACCTTGAGTTCTGGAGGGAATATTGGTTCTTGTGACGGGTCGTAAGGCATTGTGTTGACTCCATTAGCTGCCCCGTTACTGACTCCGTCACTGCTTGGATTATCCTGGAAACGAAAATGGCTTTAACTACTTGTAGCACAAATAAAGACTTTGGAACCAAGTTTGAATCGAACATTTGCAATAAAATAAATATACAAACAGCATGACGGTATATATCTATGAAAGCGTATTAGTGCCACAGCCACAGATGTAATTATCATCGATATCTACGAAGATGTAGGTATTTTTTTTAGACTAATACGCACTAATATGCTTCCGTTTGTATCCCACTAAGGTACATCCGAAATCCGCTTCAAGATTATAGCTGACTTATTCGTTTATTCCGAAATGTGTTGTTCCAGACACTTCACTGACCAGGGAACACAAAAGAACAGAAGTTTATCCACTCAAGGATTTAATGATGAGTTTACCGAGGTCGATTGTTTTATGACCGACTGAACTCTCAATCGACATAGGAATATTTATTTCAAGATCTGATCCACGATCTTGACACATTGATATATATTGTACATACATTATATTGCTTTGAAATACGTACATGCGCTCCGTTGAGTGATGACCCATTTCTGTTCCTGCAGCATGCCTCGCCCATGCCACAAACTCCCTGACCGAAAACAAAATTATCACAAATAGGAATATGGTTTATGTTTATATGTATGAAATGCCAATCCAGTAGTGTTTCATATAGCAATAATAGAGATGAATTGGATACTATTGGTATATTTCTCAATTAGAAGACATTCAATTATAATCCCAAATGAAATTACTCCTTTTTTCAACCGTTGTTCGTTATTCAACCAATTTCAATTGCAAATAAACATTTGGTCTGAGATAATACTTTTGCTAATACAAAAATGTGTCAACCTTGGTAAATGACTCGAATCCTTGAAGAATTGCCCTGTATCCTGTACACCGACACAAGTTCCCTGTCAATAAGTCAAGATATTTCATCAAACCATGCATCAACAGTCCTTACTGGTATGTTTATCTATTGTACATTTCTACAAAAACAAAGAAAATGTCAAAAATTCATATACAAAGCATGAAATTATTGAATGCGAGATTATTGCTTTACATCGCATCAGCAGGTTTTCAGATGTTCGTGACAACATGAACGCAGTGATTCAGGGTAATACCGTCAAAGTTGTCCTCTATCTGTTCTTGTGTCGGCTGTGGGCTGTTCCTGAGCAGAGTATACATGGACATGACGATGCCCGGAGTGCAGAACCCACACTGAGACCCGTGGGCTTTAGCCAGACGTTCCTGGAAACAACAAGCATAAGTTGTTATGTTTTAACTTAGTTTAGAATAACATTATAATTTTCAATGATAAATTACCTGTACTGGGTGTAGCCTGGTTTTGGTGCTGCCTATACCCTCTACTGTAGGACAGCCAGATCATGGATAGAACAGACTTACCTGTACTGGGTGTAGCCTAGTCTTGGTGCTGCCTATACCCTCTACTGCAGGACAGCCAGATCATGGATAGAACAGACTTACCTGTACTGGGTGTAGCCTGGTCTTTGGGCTGCCTATGCCCTCTACTGTAGTGACAGCCAGACACCTATACTGGGTGTAGCATGGTCTTGGTGCTGCCTGTACCCTCTACTGTAGTGACAGCCAGACCATGGAGAGAACAGATTTACCTGTACTGGGTGTAGCCTGGTCTTGGTGCTGCCTATACCCTCTACTGTAGTGACAGTCAGACCATGGAGAGAACAGACTTACCTGTACTGGGTGTAGCCTGGTCTTGGTGCTGCCTATACCCTCTACTGTAGTGTCAGCCAGACCATGGAGAGAACATGGGTGTAGATCTTGGTGCTGCCTAAACCATCTACTGTGGTGTCAGCCAGACCATGGACGGAACAGACTTACCTGTACTGGGTGTAGCCTGGTCTTTGTGCTGCCTGTACCCTCAATTGTAGTGACAGGCAGACCATGGGGAGAACAGACTTACCTGTACTTGGTGTAGCCTGGTCTTGGTGCTGCCTGTACCTTCTACTGTAGTGACAGGCAGACCATGGAGAGAACAGACTTACCTGTACTGGGTGTAGCCTGGTCTTGATGCTGCCTATACCCTCTACTGTAGTGACAGCCAGACCATGGAGAGAACAGACTTACCTGTACTGGGTGTAGCCTGGTCTTGATGCTGCCTATACCCTCTACTGTCTGTAGTGACAGGCAGACCATGGAGAGAACAGACTTACCTGTACTTGGTGTAGCCTGGTCTTGGTGCTGCCTGTACCCTCTACTGTAGTGACAGGCAGACCATGGAGAGAACAGACTTACCTGTACTGGGTGTAGCTTGGTCTTGGTGCTGCCGTTTCCCTTCACTGTAGTGACAGCCAGACGATGGAGAGAACAGACTTACCTGTACTGGGTGCAGCCTGGTCTTGGTGCTGCCTATACCCTCTACTGTAGTGACAGCGAGGCCATGGAGGGAACAGATGGGCGCCAGACACGCATTCACTGAGTAGTGGCTATATTTGTTAAGGTCATTGTAGCTTTTGTGAATTTTGAACATGCTTCAATAGGTTACATTATTACATGCCCCTTAAAATAACAACAGTGAAAAAAATATATATACACGATGTAGCAGTGTTGTAAAGTGTTTTCACATAAGAGGATACGATATGGTGTCCGTGCGGCTGTTGTATCGGGACACCATGACGGTGCACGCCCCGCATCCGCCCTCGCCACATCCCAGCTTACTGCCCGTCAGACGTACTGTAACATATACGCGAATTATTATTTCAAAACTTAGAAACTGAAACTAAGCAAATAATGATCTTATATATGCCGAAGGAAACTTGAACAATTCATTAGACTGAAGGGAGAGTACTGTACCTTCAATCGAATTTAATTGTCATGTAAATGATTCCATATTTGAGAACAATTTTCATAAACGCCCAATACAAATGTATGCATATGTGTGTATTACATGTACATAAGAAATTTAATGTGCTTCATCAGGACGTACAACGCCTTTCAAAATATAACCAAAAGAGGACACCAAGACCATGCTACACCCAGTACAGGTAAGTCTGTTCTCTCCATGGTCTGGCTGTCACTACAGTAGAGGGTATAGGCAGCACCAAGACCAGGCTACACCCAGTACAGGTAAGTCTGTTCTCTCCATGGTCTGGCTGTCACTACAGTAGAGGGTAAAGGCAGCATCAAGACCATGCTACATCCAGCTCCCGAGACCAAATTTGTATTGGTAGTGAATGGATCAGTGCACTTCACAAAGATGGATATCCATTTTATTTTGGCAGACAACGTATACCTCAACTGGTTGGTGACAGAAATGAAATGTAAATATGAACTTATGCAAACGAATCTAATACTACCTGGGGCATGTTATATTTCGAAGTCACGTCCCTTACCTACCTTGATTCGCTGACGAATGTCGAATTACGCGTTCGTGCCAATAATGTCATAAAGAACATACATAACGGGTTGACACTCATGAACGACCATATGGATGACTGCTGGAGTTAACCCTTTGTGCTGGGTGAATGACAGCTATTTGATAACAGCGTGGTTGCCAATACTTCCAATTTTTATCAACAGAGAATACCTTGTCACTTTGAGGTCGGCAGAAATATGATGTCTGGTTATGTATTTGGTTCAAATGTGGTCTGTAAACATGGGAAGTATTGTTTTGAATACATACAAACTGTTAGGGGGTATAATATACATCCTTAGCATCTATATTAGGGTCAGAATTTTTCAGCCACCCCTCGTTTTAAAGTAAACTGACTGTGCTTACGTCTGTTTCTCAAGTACTGTAGTAACGTGACATGAGGATCGGGATTCGGCTCAACGATCTGTAAACATAAAAAAACTTAATAAAAACAGTGTACAGTTATATTACTGGACCGATCAACAGAGCGGTATGATGACAGCAAATGAAGCGACAAAACCCTTTTCGTAGCCAATAGAAATCCCTGCATAAAGCAGAGTCGATATTATAATTCTAGCTTTGTCATGAGCATGTGTTTATGGAATGGGTCGTCATGTATTAGACGGAACAATCAATTCTGTGTTATTTGGGAAATCGTTTTGTGGTGGGCTGACAGGCAATCGACACGATTAAAACTATGTGCAGCATACGTATCTCAACATATATGGGGCGGCCGGGTAGCCTAATGGTTACAGCGTCGGCTCGTCACGCCGACGACCCGGGTTCGATTCCCGACATGGGTACAATGTGTGAAGCCCATTTCTGGTGTCCCCCGCCGTGATATTGCTGGAATATTGCTAAAAGCGGCGTAAAATCATACTCACTCACTCACTCAACAGATATACTTACTCTTAGACCATTAACGAAGAAGATCAATTCATCCGTAACCTCGCCTCTGTGCCCCATTGCTATAGAACTTTCGTAGATGCCGTCCTGTCTGCAAACACAGATAGAGGTTATTGGTGAGGGTAAAATACTTATTATGTATAGGTTAGACCACGAGGACACAGTGTATAATCGTTGAAATGGTTATTTAAACTTGTTGCTCTGGGTATTATGGCTGTCTCTTGTCACAGCGTGAGTCTCATAACCACATACACTCTTAAAAAAAAAGAAACTCACAGGTAGATTTTTAGTCAATTTATTGTCGATATATTTAATTTAATATCATAGACACAAATACGAAATTTTGGAGCTCGATATTCACATGTTGTCGTTGTACAAAGGCATTGAAAACTGTTCATTGTCATGTCACATAAGGCCACAAAGTTGCGCTGAAATCAGTATCTCGTATGACCGCCCCGGGCAGCAATCACGGCTCTGCATCTCCTCGGCACTGACTGGATAAGTGTACGAATTCTGTCCTGCGGAATTCTGCGACATTCTGCTTGTAACGCGTTGGCCAGTTGTGGGAGTGTCTGAAGTTGACGAACAGGAGTGTTCTGACGTTGACGTACAGGTCGACCGAGTTCATCCCAGAGGTGTTCGATTGGGTTGAGATCTGGAGATCTTTTTATGAAGAGTGTATACACCAGTTGCTCAGTGTATGACATTTAGCAACAAACTGCAGTCGAACAAAACGACCATTGTTGCTTTACTTTCCCCATGTTCGTCCCACGGCGACGCCATATTACGCTCCGGGCGTCGGTTGCGGTATCATGTAGCGCAAACAGTGTGATGGAAACAAAGCTGCAACTTTTACGACAGAAAACACTTCAACTCACAATAACCAGCGTTTCAGAACATCGACTTTGTTAACGCGTGTCAGCTTGGCCCCATGATGTACTTGTGGAATGTTTCGAGACAAGCCGTAGACTTTGGTGCAAAGCCCATTTCTGGTGTCCTCCGTTGGATATAACTTGAATATTGAATTCATGCTTTTTAACGCCTATGGATTCGTGACCAAAAGATTAATTCAATATAAGTCTCCTTTGTGATCAAATCATTGTTGTTTATTAATGAGTACATTCATAATGATGTGAACTTGATCTACCATAAGCAATATAGGTAGGTGCATGCATGTTGTTAGCTCGTTGTTTAACACCGCACTCGGCAATATTCCAGCTATATATATGGACCAGCACAATAAAATTAGTCCGGACTAGTACAAACACCCGGACGCACGTATATATATTATATATACGACGGCGGTTTGTAAATAATCGAGCCTGGACCAGACAACCCAGTAATGATCATCAAGAGCATCGATCAATGGCCACTTGGGTACGGTGTCATGCATCAACCAATTCACCGAGCCTGACCACCTGATCCTGTTAGTCGCCCCTGACGACAAGCGCAGTTGCCTCTTACTGCAAGCATGGGTTCCTGAAGACCTATTCTAAACCGGATCTTCACGGGCCGTGCATACATGTAGTTTATTGATAATTAAGCTACAGTTTTGGTCAATCTTGACAAATACATGAAGATTATCTTGACCTGGAAAACAAGTGATTGATATCATGAGAAAGGTCAAGCCATCGGGATAGGATGCAACACAATCAGCCAAGTCACCGAGTCTGACCACCCGATCAAGTTAGCCACTCCGTACGACAAGTATAGATACTGGGAACCTGTTCTAATCCGGAATACCCACGGTGATCATTCATTATTTTTTCATACTTGACAGAGTACCTTTAATCCTTTACACCTGACCGCTTCCGTGGTCTAGTGGTCAAGCGTCCGCCCGGGGAGCTGAAGGTAGAGGGTTGGCTTCCCGGCAGCGTCATTCCAACGTACGTTAAAATATAATACTTGTTGTTACCCTGCCTGGCGCTCGGCATTAAGGGACTTGAATAATGACTGGTCGGCTCGGTGTATACTCGGAGCATATTGTGTCTGAGTGGGGCATTCATTTTAAACTGCGGTATGGTATCTCATTGGACTAGCACTTTAAAATTAGTCCGGACTAGTACAAACGCACGCACGCACGCACAAACACACACAAAACAACACAAACACACACACAAAAACACACACATACTCAATCTTGAACGCTACGTGGATCTTGAAACCCCATTTCACCTCTCTTCTTGCACATCTGTGGCTGAAAAACCCATTTGAGATAACTGGTATAAAAACATGTGTGAGATCGAATTCCACGTCCGTGACTGGGTTCTCCATGACCTGCAGTCAGATTAAGACGGACTACTTTCCTGTAATTCATTGTAATTCATCGATAAGGTTCTCGTGCTTCAGTCGAATTAACCCACCTCTGTGTCGAAGCTTTATGGTTTTAGAATGAATAAATATTCTTTCATCTTACCTATTTTGCTTTATTGTCATTATCGCCTTGAAAGTCAAGAGATGTTACAGAAACGTTTTTGTTAATGTGTCACTGCTATCAAGAGAATAGACAAATATGCATTGCTTCGTAAAATTGACCAAATTTAGAGTGTAAGAAACAGATTACTGCATTTGTGCCTGCCATGTATCATTTATCTTATAACTGGTTGTAAGATATATTTAATCTCACGGACACAGCTGTAGTAATCTCTATGTAAGAACTGGAACTAACAGATGTTGCCATGTGTGGCATTCACACTCTCCCTGTTGTAACAAGACGTGTGTAATGAACTGAGCCTTGTTAACGTTCTCTCCAGGTGTTAGGTTTGCGGGCTCAAGATACGATTATCTTATCTCACCTTGGCCCACTTACTGCAGAATTAGTATCTGATTCGTGACTACATTGAATATGTTACAATTTTCCGCAGCGTGTTGACGTCCTATTCATGTTAATTTCCGACTGGGTCCAAATATCGTTGATGGAAACACAACACCATACCCTACTTTTTACGTTTATCGGTCGGTATCTCGCGGAAGATCTATCTGTGTATGTGTGCAGTTTAACACAATGTTTAGTGCACCCGTGAAGATCCGGGGTAGAATAGGTCTTCAGCAACCCATGCTAACGGGATCGGAGCGCCAGGCTCTCCAACTTGGTTGATGCATATCATCGTATCCCAATTGCGTGGATTAATGCTCATGATGTCAGTCACTGAATTGTCTGGTCCAGAGTCGATTATTTAAAGACCGCCGTCATAGAGCTGGAACACTGCTGAGTGCGGCGTTATACAACAAACAAACAAACAAACAATGTTTAATGGCGTGTCATACAAGAGTAAAGTGTAAAGGTAGCGCACCATCATTTATGAAGACCTGTCAGAGCCGAATTTAAAAAAAACACACAAAATAATAATTTTAAACTTTGTATTTGTTTAATGGACAAATGCCACAATTACGAATAGGGCATATATACATGAGTGACGTCATCCAGTATACTGATAACTGGTTCAACCTTGTGTTTCCCTCCACAAAAACGTTCGTGTGACATCTGTGGATTTTCAAGGCGATGATGATGTTGCGGCAAGAAACACAGTATGGTGATACTCTCTCACGGAAGGTTTATTACCGGTTTCGCGTGCACAAATTCGCGTGTACTTGTAACATTATAGCGTTGCAGCGTTAGCGTTAATAGAATATAAAGGTTATATTGTTGAGCAATAAGGATGAGTTTCAGAAAAAAAACTACAAAGAGAAATACACCACTTGCAAAGTATACAACACAAACCTGTCAAAGTATACAATTATTCAAATTCCAAATTGTCTAAGTAAACAATTGCTTAAATCAAATATGTTCTATTTTAGATCGTATCTACATAAAGACATTATAAGGTAAGGAAAACAAACCTTTATCTGTTTTCTGCCGTCCCCTGGAGAGGGTATGTAAAACCACGTCTTTCAAAGTAGATTTATTCTTACCATATCCTTTAACCGTAGAATATATGTTGTTTTAATATGGCTAAAGGTGTTAATAATCGCCAACACCTGAAGGGATGATGTAAATCCAGCTGGGGTCCATGCAGGTAGCAAAAGTACTGTTAGTCCCCATGGCCCCTAGTATGGTGATCTACGTTCAGTTGTTGGAGATCATACCCTGTTTTTATAATGTATTGTTATGTATCGTAATATCAATTTTATGATTCCATACTAGTTTTAATATTTTTCTGTGATAAGTCTTCAAGTTGTTATTTTACTGCCCATCGTTGGCAGGTTTTTTTATACGTTTTCAAAGTATTTATAATCTTAAACCTTTGATAGTCACGATATGGCTGAAATATTGCCGATGTGACTCAAAACTTAACTCGCTCACTCACTCACTGTTTTCTGCCACAACAAACCCCCAAGCCCTGGTCCAAACATAGAGGCCTTCTGCCCAACTCACAACATGTGCTCCTGGTCATGTGATCAGGAGCCAGGATGTAGATTATATAATAAAGTTGCAAAAGATCAAGCAACAACCTGGCTTTGAATCCGGCACCTCAGTATTACTTCAGGCGGAACTTATCGTTCCCAGTGTTTTTATTCATTATACCAAAAACCCGAGTGTTCCTATTCAAAGGATTCAGTTAATAAACCCAGCATACAATGTTACAAACAAGAAATAGAACACTTTATTCCTCGGTTGCCATGTGACGACCAGTGATGAGACCTGATAACCTAATTTTTTTATCAGTGACACACAAAGTAACTTTGACGTGAAGCCAGAATGTATTCCTCACGTTGCATAAAGAGTAACCTGTAATTGGTCATTGTAAAGGGAAATATAAAACGTTTTGCACAGGTCACCTTGTCCCATTTGATAATAATTTTGCAGAATATATAAATACGTATTTCTGTGATCAAGCAAGATTGAAAGGGAAGGAAACATTTGTTTTTGCGAGTCCGCGTATACGCTGATAATAACAATATATACATAATTGTATATCATTTTGAAAATGAAGTTTATATCCTACCTAGACATGTAGATGTTAGACTTAAATATGATGGTAAATATCTTCGTAAAGCCTACACATATACTTTTGTAAACTTACCACAAAATGAACACTTTGATATCATATATTACATTACTTTATTCCTATAACGTATAAACACAATTAT